TTGTAATAACTACTGTTAAGCCACCGGCTCATTACTTGACACTGATTTGCTTAACCACCTAAATCGTTGTAAATCAGTTTTCAAAAAAAGAGCTCCCACAATAATTTGCTGCCCCCAAAAAAGCACTGCTCGGAGGCAATCCCCCCCCCCCCTTAAACACGTCACTGCCCTCGTTCAGTCGTATACCTATTGGCTATACTGTATAGGTAACCTATGTTATACATTATTTCCTATCCACACTGTCGTCCTGAAAGATCGAGAGAATCTCAAATTCTAGTGACCAGTGTAATAACTCGTATAAATTATATATATTTACCATAATCATATATACATATATAATAATAAACCTTGAAGTATTTTTTGATGTTACATCATTTATTCAGACGCGTTATCTCAGCGAATAGCGATTGTGTTTAAATTTTAATTTTTATCGTGACGTTCGAGCTGATTATGTCCAAATCACGAGGCAAGTATTATAATATACAAATGCGTATATCAGTGTACTGTGTATATAATACGATAAAAAAAGGATAAATCCGCAATAATATCTAAAAAACTATTATAGAATAATGTATACCTAGTGTTAAAATATCGGAAATGTTTACGTAGGTAATAATTATTGTTGAGCTACCTATACAAATAAATAAAATACAAAACAATAGGCATAGGTAGGTGGTAGTTTATCTGAATACAGCTCTATTTTAAAAATAGTAAATGACCGAATATCGCATTAAATTATATTGTTATAAACATTTTATTTAGTACCTATTTTTATAGTTTTACTTATATTATTTCATTTCAAAAGTAATTATTCATTATAATATTATACCAATTGCAAACTTATCTACGATTTTTCAGACACTTAATAAACGTTTAATTTATCTAGCCACTCACGATTTTGGTATTGTAGGTAGGTACGAAAATTATTTATGAATTTTAACTCTAATAATACCACCGTGGTCTGTGTGCTTTTTTTTTTTTTTACAAATTTAGGCGCGGTGTAATTTTATTTTAGATATAATACAATAATTGTTTAATCAGCATTATCAGCGTAACTGCAGATAGCTGAAATCATTACTACAAGCTTCCGCAATAATATCACTGCAGTGTTATGGTATTTTTACAACACGTGTAATGGTGGTAATATGTAAGCAAACTTCAGAAGGCTATAACTTCGAAACTAAGTCCGACCAACGAATTCTGTTCCATCGTTTTTAACTCGTCAAAATACGAAAGTTAAAATAAAAATAAAAATTTATGTGTGGCCCGACGGAGTACATAATATTTTGTTCCTCTCCACTAGGTATCTTTGTATTAGTTTTATGATGTGTATTTTTCATTTGTGTCAGTCGTCGGATGAAATTTTTTCGAAGCAAACTATACTCAATTTTACTCCATTATACTAAACAACGTTGAGGCCAATTCGAAGTTAATATTTGAAAATCCTATAAATTATATACTCAACGGCTCAACACTAAATAGTCGGGGAAAAATAGCGGGAAAAGGTTAATATTTACGCAACAACAGTTTCCGATATAACCGTTTTTTGTTTTTACTTTTTGTAATTCAGAAAGGAACTGTAGAGACTTGAAATGTTCACTATTTATTTAAGTAGATGTGTAAGCAACACCAATTTATGTTAAAATAATAATTTTGTAATTTATAAAGAAATAACCACAGATACAGGAAATTGTCACTAAATATTTATATTCGAATTTTCTAGTCATATGATATAATTTAAAAAATATTTTAACTCGCGTCCTTTTGATTTATTCGTAATTTTGGAGATATTTTTTTAAAATGTATTTATTTATTTAATTTATACGGACAAAAAATCTTAAGTCTAATAAAAATATTGTTTTTATACATAATTATTTATACAACTAAGTTCACAGAAATAAATAAAGGTAACTCAAATACCTACAAACCAATTTCATAATTCAATTAATTTGTGAATTATATAGACATTAGGTTGATAGATGTTAAAGAAAACTAAGATAATAATTTAACATATTTATCAATTTACATAAAATTACCCTAATATTATTCATAGACAATAATTCAGGACTATCCATCAAATTATTTAGCAATTTGTACAAAAAAGTAAGCCTATTTTTTTCTTCTCACTTCTAATGTTTTCAAGTTTAAAAAGCGGGTAAGTGGATGTCGCTCTGCTGTACTGTAGGTTACAAGTGGGACATTGTATAATGGATTGTAGTAAACTTGAATTCAATGATATTCTATCATTGTATAAGAAAAACGATTCTGAGCGGAGACGGTTTGTCAGTCTGGATATTTTATATTGTCATTAATTATTATAAAATTATGTAAGAGTTCAATTAATATTATAATATTATAATTTTTTAATCGTTCCTATGGTTATAAACAATGCGTTAGAAATTAAAATCCAATTGTTAGCGGTTGTTCGTAATTTTTCGGTGGTTTTTACCATGGCATTAAATAACTATTGATAAAATCTAAAAATTACCTCTTTAAAGTACCATCTTGATCCAATTTGCTAAAAGATAAGATACTATATGTTGAAATCGAAGAACTAATTCTGGTAGATATTTTGTACACAGGATATAAAAAGAAAAAAAAAGAAATAAACACCATTGTAAAACCACTGGCTTCCTCGCTCCGCTCAGAATCTAAAAATCAAGTCATGGTGTATAAGATGAATGAGGTTCTCTGTGTAATTTACAGTTAATGGAAATAAACTGTAGACGTTTATTTTGAATTACTTCAATCGAAATCATATTCCAAACAGGACCCCGTGAGGCGTGAGCAGTAAACGCGAATTTTAAAGTGAAACCATTAAGTTTAGTTAAGTCGTCGTACAATGGCGTTTTATATAAACCAATGTTTAGTTTATTATATATTATTTATCTTGATAAAATCTTTGTTTTGAATTTGTAAAGCTTGAACATGTAATAAAGTTTCCTGAATTCCCCACAAAATATCGAAAATACAAACGTAATATGCACAATTTTTTTTATAGTTTTGAAAAACTTGTTTGGGGTCCAAATTCATAAAATTGACATTTCGTTTGCATGTATTGTAAGCATTGTTTTTTTCGTCAACTAATCAAACATCAAGCTAGATCAGCTTTAAATTTGGTTCATACTGTCTATACGTAATATTAAAAGAAATTTCATTTTCTTTTATTGGTTAATCAGCATTATTAACAAATGCTTTTTTGCAGTTTTATGTGTTCGTAAGATGACGCCACATGTGTCGTTTCCGTCTTACAAACTTATATCATGGTAAATGTGTTACGTTCACAATGATCCAGTTATTATTTTGTTGTTATTTTTAAAATTAGAGTGAATTTATTTATTTTCCTATTATAAAATGTAAATTTAAGATTATTATCTATTGCAGGGGTCGGCAACAGGTGGCCAAACCCGGTCAGTGGAGGGGAAAAAATTGGAAAAAGATTTTTGTTTGATGCTGGTTTTCCGCAAATAATATTTATTTGATCTATGTTGTATTGGGATGTATTTTGGCTCCACATATATATATATATTATGTGAAACTATATTATCCAAAATTACGTCTTTAAAGAATAAATATCGTACAAGATTAACTGATCTCCACCTTGAAAACACTCTGCGCATTAGTTGTTTTCCAACAGTACCAATTTTAAAAAACAATATTATATCATATTAAATAATTTGCACTTAATAGCTTGAACTAAATTTTTAACATAAAAATAAACACATTGTATTACTAATATTCAAGTTTTTTCAAACCATCTGGATGACCGCCATTGAATTTAGTTCCCGAACCCCTGATCTAGGGCATCTCTGAAACTTTGATTAATATTTTAATTTTGAAGCAAATTATGATCATTTAAAAATTTACAAAAATCATAAAGCATTTAAAATTCTCATAATTTGCTTCATAATTTAAACATCAACAAAATCCACCGAGATACCCTAAATAATAATCTTATCTTTAAATTTTATAATAGTTCCCTCTAATTTAATAAATAACAGAGTGAAATGAACTATTGTTAACTTAAAATTATCTATATGTTGTACTTTTGTAAGACGAAAATAATATTCCTCTTAATATTAAAATTTGTTATAACTAATTATAATAACCTGGAATATTTGAAAGATTTATATTTATTTTTATACCATATAATATAATGTCCGCCGGGCATTATGTTTTTTTAAAATTTTTATTTAACGGTTTATAGAGCTACGACATTTGAATCTAATCATAAGTATTTTCTACAAAAGTTTATAAATACTAATAATATAATAATATAAAAAATTTAAAGTTATTTGAATATTTTAACGAAATAGAATATTCGTACAAAATAAAATTTCTCGTTTTTATGATGTGTAGAATTAGTTGATTTTTTTTTCTAATGTATTGATACGCATAATAATCATACGATAGTCATTATTTTTCTGTGAGCACTCTTGTCTATAAAACTGAAATCAAAATCAGAATCGGTCTCGATGATCACCAATTATTATTATACTTATATATCATGTTTGATAATTAATAACCCATTATAATTATCTACCTGACGCAGCAATAAACGAAAAAATTCAATTTAACTTATCTAGTATAATAATAATATAACTTGGTGTGATCATAACTTTATAAACACATATATGCCCGTCATAATTAATACGGTAAATATTCAAGGTGCTTATATAACTATATAATATTATGTTCCAATACAAAAGTAATTAAACACACTCGTGGAAATCATAATGGAAATGTATCAGTAACACCCGCAAAGGGAGGCTAAAATGTTTACGGTGGGGAAAGGAGAGGTAGGGTAAAGTACAAAGTAAAATAGATTGTAGCAGACAGTGTTTGTCACAGGGACGAGGTTAGTAATCGTTTCGTGCGCGCGTGATGATCATCAACGCGAATATCAACTCGATAGGCCGTCCTAGTTTTTCACTGGATTTATTTTGGTTTTGGTTATTGATTTAATTAGAGTATTACAGTAGTCGTGAAAAATCAAAAACATGGAAACCGACAAGTTGAATGACAGGGAAAACAAAACCAACGGTGATACTCAGCTTGCTGTGGTAGAAATGGGAGAACTTAATCACTGTTCGAGACCATCGACGTCGGGAGAAAATAAAAGATCCGGGTAAGAAATTAATTTAACTTTTATGAATGACACATATTTTGTATTTGTGGAATTTTTCTCTTATAATTTTAGTTCGTAGCTCGGTAGAATGAGTGGTATTAAACTTAAAATAATTTCTCTAAACAAAGATAAAATACAATTATACAATTATGTCAACACTGAAGAATACATTTAATAGTTAAGACTTATAAATAAGTATTAGGTAAAATTAAAATGTTTAAAAACAAATACACGAATAATTAGAATTTGATTAAAGAAAAGTTATTTCTTCTGGATACTATTCTAATCATACTGGAATTAAAATATAAAATATACAATTTATTACAAATCGTGCAAAGAATAAGCAAAATAAATATCAAATTTTCATAAATCAAGGCAAATGCCTATCTACCTACTCTTCTAAATTTTATTTCAGTAATTATCTTCTTTTTTTTTATTTTATAAAAGAATATCAACTTTCAATTTTCCAATGGTGACTTACAGTTATAATTTTAAATCATTTTCGAGCCGAAGTACCTTCACTGGATGGTTTCTTCCCTCAAGACACTCGATAGCCATTACACATAATTTAAAAAAAAAAACCCCATACATTATGCTTATTTTACTTTGTTTTTGTATGGATTGTATAATTTTCTAGATTAAAAATAATGGAAAAAAAAATCATTACCAAGACAGTTTTTTTTTTTAAACATTGGTCATTTATATTATTTTATATACGACATATTGTATCACTTACATCACTTACATCTTAAACCAAACTAATTGGTTATTAATTATAAAAAAACAAATCAAAGTGTAAACGGTGAAATAGGGAGGGTTACAATAATATAATGTTTCAACTTTCAATTGCGTATATTTGTAAGGCACACATTTTACCTATTCATAAATAATTACAATTTTTAAATCTAAAGTAGTTTTTATTTGATAAAAAAGTTGATAGAATAAAAATAATAAATATAATTGTACGTAATGACTAATTATTAGTCCGTTGTTTTAAGAATTTCAAATAGGTTATAAATATTTCCTAAATTATAATCACATAACAATTATTCCTCGAAGTGTAGGACTTAATTATATATAATGTTCAAGTTATTTGTGGTAGGTAAATATTAATAAGTTACAAAATAAAATATTTAGATCGAAGGTAAGGATAAAACAAATAAATTGTCATAAACCAAATTCTAAATCTGTGTTATGGAATTTTGATGTAATACATAATTCACTTAATGTACTAAACTGCTAAGGTTTGTAGAACCCTTCAACAAGTTACTGTTACTAAATTGTTACCTACTCTAAGACATTCCTTCACCACAATGTAGGTATTAATAAATATTAATAATGACAAGAAAATACGATGCCAGTGTAAGATTATTTGTAAATAAAAAATATAATTTTAGTAATTTAAATAATTTATATTTACAATTATTGTAATATACCTTTTGGCCTCTATAACAGTATTTAGTCTGAATTAATAGTGTTGATAATTGATACCTATACGATTAAATATGAATAAAAACTAAAACGAATAAGTAATTTACATAATCTGAAAATGTATTTATTTATTTATGTAGGCATAGAACAATCTGTATACTACTCAAAGTGTTGGCACAAGTAACATAATATATTGTTTTAATAATTTTAAAATCAAATCCTAACAAGGATTATATTTAAAGGTTTTGAGTTATAAAAAATATTAAGTTGATTTGATCATGGACATTGATAAATCTGAGTAGGTGCCTAAAGTCTATACTATTGACTCTATAGTCTAAACGCATTACACAGTAATTGAAATATAATGTTAGTGACCATAATTTTTTGAGAAGTTCAATCTAAATGAAATAACTATTGATAGCTTGACCTAAAAAGAAAAATACACTGATAATTTCATTAAAAAAAAAGTATCAGTCAAAAGGTTAAACCAAAATCAATCTCAGATTATATTCATTATATTCTTTTATTTTGAATACAATTTAAAAAATAAAGATTTATTAACAATTTATCACTATACCTATATACTGTACATAAAATTATAAAATGTTTACAATTAAATAATTTATATAAAAAAAAAAAAAAACAATATTTATTTATGCTATAAGTTACATAATTTTTAAGTGAATACAAATAATATTAAAAAGCGTGCACAATTTTTGCTTAATAATACAAAATATGTTCCGTTATTATTCATAAATATAAATAAAGATTTTTTTTCTAACCTCAATAAAATAGACACAAAATAATATTGTAACCATTTTACTTAAATAGTGTTTTAAATTAAATTAAAAAAAAAAGAAGTCTGGCTATAATGATCAAACATTTCATCATATACGGCTTCCTTCTTTTATATTAATTCAGGAATTCGAAATTGAATCTCACATATTGTAGATCAAAGATTTTGCAGACAAAATATCCTGCAGAGTACAATTTTAAAGTAACTTCTATAACTGTTATAAATGTACGCTTTATTTAATAAAAATATAGTTTGTTATAAAATATACTTACTATAGATAAACTAAATAAATAGGCAACATTAATAATTATAATGTGTAGGTAGGTACTCAGAATTAGGACTTAGCTAGGTATATTATGGTATTTGAAAAAATATTTTTACAGATTTTGTAATTATTAATATTTATAATGGATATTTCCATTGAGGTTAGGTACAATATATATACTTATATCATGTACTCATATTTTTTCTATTAAGTATAATATACTGATGTTCAATATACAAGATGATATTTTTAAGTGTCTACATTTCATTATTTCAAAATGTGAAAACCATTTTTGAAAATATTATTATGCAAACCAACATTTTTAAAATGTTTTATAATTTCTTAAGTTTCACTTTTTTGAAAGACGAAGTGCATTTTTAATTACCTATACATATTTGGAAGCAAAATATTTTAAGAGTACGTAGTTAATTAGTGATAAGTTTAGTTTTGTAATTAGTGACAACATTTAGAAGAGCGAAATAGTGGACCAATATTTTAAAGTTTAGGAACCCCAGTACCATTCTACTCTGCTCAACTAAGTCTTAAATATTTATAAGTTATAATAAAAGACCGGATTTATTTGCTTTGCAAAAATTACATATTAAATTGTATTATTACATAAAAAAAATACGTACCTAAAATAATACACTATAAAAATCTAAAATAGTTTTCTAATATAATAAAATGTATATAAAATAAAAGATCAATGCCTTTTTTTTTTTTAATTTAAAATTGTTTATCAAATACATTTCTAAATTATATCATATCGTTTAAGACAATTCAATATGGTCGATTATATCTAAAACAACAATATCTTTACCTGACACGACTTTGTATTCAGATTTGCTAGTTTTATACCTTTAAATTTTTTTCAACAACATACATGATATAACTATCTTTCCCCCAAGTTAGAGGGTATCCACACTGGTGGGCCTCCCTCCACAAGCCATTCATGTTGTTGTTGTTTCTTTCATTACCAAATTTACTTATTGTATCTATAAAATTACAGATTGTAAATATTCTATTTTATCTAATAAAAAAAAAAAAAAGAACTATCTTTAATTTTTTTTCCATTTGGACCCGAAATATTTGTTAATATCTTTTTGTTAATATTTTTAATTTTAATAATCATATTTATACTTTTCACTTTCCAAATTTATAAGATTCGTGGAATGATTCAGACAAGCGTAATTTTATAAATGCTAGATCACATATTTTAACTTCAGTAGTTAACAAGCAGTTTTAGCTTTTCAACACTGAGGTTAGGTAGCATTTTAAATTTTCAAAAACGTTCTTAAAATTTTCAAAAAGTGCAAGTTCCCTATATTGGAATAATATGTTCCCTGGGTAAAGACACGTCAGTGTATATGCTTTTATAAGAGGCAATTATATTCTATGAGTAATTTAAGATAAATACCCATCGATTCGTAGAATGGTTGGAATAATTGTCATCTTAATAATAGCTTGAATGGCACGACCACAGATTATCTGCTCGTATCGAACTCGTTAATAACGTTTTTAATATTATATAATTAGGCGAGTAAAATATTTTGTTCGTTTAAACTCATAGAACACACAACACTTAAAAAAATGTCAGTATCTACTATCTACCTAGGTATAAAATTGCAATATTGAATAGGCGTAATACCATAATATTATAATATAGCACAATTATATAATTATTGCACATTTTAAAACCCTATTAAAAAAAAAAATAGTTTATCTTATTATAGACTTTAATATTGCTCCAATTCATAACTATAATACTATTATTAGTCGAATTAGATGTATTTTATGACTATAATTCAGCATTGATTCTATTTTATAATGCCTATTTGTCATAATTGTCTTGTCTTTCTAATAAAATCCACCTGATACTTGATAGATAATTTCATATTCCTTTATAAATCGCTCACAGCATAGGCAATATTAGTAGTGTAGGTATCTGCCACCGACTACGAAGTTTTATTAACAAGAGATAAACACTTTTAACCGTTAAGCCTCTCAATGGTAGTTGCGTGTAAGTGAAATTGTATGAGATGCTGTAGCGTTGTGTGTTATTAGTTTATATACATAACTTTTTGAACTACAAGATGTATTGTTTTTTTTTTATCAGATCAATGGTAATCATAATACCAAAATTATTTGACATAAACATAATATATTCTATCCTTACTAACACAATATTATAAAAAGTTTATTAATTATTGTAAAAACTTAAAATACTAAATGTACAGTTATATTTTATATTGGTGTCTACATAATCTGATGAAATAGTATGAAACCATGCGAAAAAAGTTGAATTATCCACATTTTTACACCTATTTAACATTAAGTGTTTATTTGTAAATAAATTCGACGTGGTGGAAAGGCGTTTTGAATATTTTGGTAAAATTAAACCTTTAAATTCACCTTTTTTGATATGATACTCCCTAAACTATAGTTCTATTGCGTACCAGTGAATCCTACATTAAAAATCATGCCACGCGTAATAATGGATAGGGTTAAAAAAAATTCAACTAAATGAATCATTTATTCATACACAAACATAAAAAATTTTACAACACATATTTTTACATATTGTTTAAATAGCATTAAATTTAAATTAAAAAGCATATTGTGATTAGTACTTGTCCAAACATTTTTTAATTCTAAGAAAAATATAAAAAATTTAAACCAATAATAAATTTGTTGTGTACAATTTATTTTTACTAATTTATGTTATTATCAAATTCAATAACCAGCTATTTTTTTTTTTATAGTTTATCTTAAGCCCGCCGACTATGGCCATTAGCTGTATGGTTTTGTAGGTTTTTATGTCGGTAGGGGGGGGGGGAAACAAACGTGTGTTTTGTTTGGCAAAATGTTTGATTGGGCACCCGTACGTATCTGCCATGCCCGGGTGTGGGATGGCGGCACTTGTTCTCCGGACACCGTGACTTGCCCGAAGAAAATAACCAGCTATTATATTAACTACAATTGAGTTATTTTCAAGGCTTGAAATCAATCTGACATTTTAGATTCTGAGCGGAGCGAGGAAGCCAGTGGTTATACAATGGTGTTTATTTATTTATTTATTTATTTATATCCTGTATACAAAATTTCTACCAGAATGAGTGCTTCGATTTCAACATATTATAGTACCTTATCTTTTAGCGAATTGGATCAAGATGGTACTTTAGAGAGGTCATTTTTTGATTTTCTCAAAGTTATATAATGCCACGGGAAAAACCACCGAAAAATTACCAAATACCGCTAAAAATGGGAATTTAATTTATAACGCTTTGTTTATCACTATAGAAACGAATAAAAAATAATAATATTATAATATTAATTCAACTTACATCATTTTATAATAATTAATAACAATATAAAATATCCAGACTGACAAACCGTCTCCGTTCAGAATCGTTTTTCTTATACAATGATATCATATCATTGAATTCAAATTTAACACCATCCATTACACATTACAGTGACCCACTTGTAACATACTGTACAGCAGAGCGACTTTTTGAATTTGTGATCATTGTGGAATTGTCCTGTGAAACGGCCCTAAGAAAACAAAATTATCAACCGATGAACAATATTATTGTCATATTTTGGCTATCGATTTTTTTTAAACATTCTAAGAAGATTATTATTTTGATTCAAATTTGAAATTATTGATTTTTAATTTTTCGGTTTCAATCTAAACTTTGAATATCATTGTATAAAAATTTCTATTTTGAAATTACAATTGATTTAATTTATGTTGGATTTTAATCAATACCTATTTAAATCGATTTCAAGCCCTATTTATGACAACAAAATGAAGGTTTCCATAAAATATAACGAGACATATTATAATAGAACACTTTTTGAATGTCTCAATGTCAATAATAATATGCACTCCAATTATTAGCGATAATATACTTGTTCAGTTTTTCAGGTGTTTCAATCCTCAAATCACCGTGATAGTTATCCATCATATATGTATATATTATTACACTACACAAAAGTTTCTCATAAATTGATAATTCAGACACAATAATAATATAAACAAACTGACGTTTTCAAAAAGGTTAACCAACCCTATTATTTATTATACCATTTGTAATTTTTTCTCGTGTATTTATTTTTGTCACTGTTCAATGTGTACCTATCTTTTTAGATAAAAAATGTTGACAAACTAAGTACCTATTCAAACAAGTCGACAATATGTTTATACATATATTTTTATAATTTCAAACGAAAAAAAAAATGTTATCTACCTATAACACTATAACACAGGAACTCTTCGAACATTTAATTATTTAATATGTTATAATATATTGATAAGACTAGGTATGGATAGTTTTGAATATAAAATACTAAAGAGTACAAAATTAAACATTGGTTAAATATACATTGAATACATATAAAGGGCGTTAAAAAAATAAATAAATCAGTCTACATAACATAATATATCTTTAAAAATACTCATAATTAAATTTAATTTTAATTTTCGCCTACTATTGTTCATTCCTAGTTTGTAAATCGAAAAGTTATAGTAATTTTATTTAAATTGCCCAAGATCTATATCTATACGTTCTTTTGAAATATTTAGTTATACTATAAATATTGGACTGGCAGATTATCAATTTTGTAATTTGAAGCTTTGGCGTAATATATTACCATTTTCCACTACTACACTGTTTACTAATTAGGTAATAATGAACCGATAACTCGCCCTCAATATATCTACCCTCAGCATTAAGTCAGCATATTACATATTCACACAATATTGTTTCAATGAAGTCAATATTATTAAGTTTTCTGTGATCTTTTTGACCGTCATTGCATTTCTTGCTGGGTACTACTCTATATTTTTTTCTTGTCTTTATATTTTAGACGTTATCGATGCCTATTTCTCTAGCATCTTCATGATTTCTATTCAAATCCCGTCGTTATATCGCTCACATTCAATTGTATCTTAAACTCAAATTTTTCAATTTTAAATTATGAACATTTTTCGATGTAATATAGTTTGGTACAAACCTTTTAAAACAATCACTCTGTATATTATTTTACGAAATATATGTCTTTTAGCAACTAACATATTATGTACCTATATATAGAGAGAGAAGCGTATACGTAACATATATTATATTATTTACAAGGGTAAAGCAATTAAAGATGCCTATAGAATGTTCGATACACAAAAAATGTTCTCATAAATTGTGATAACCGTTTGACCATATTCACATTATCTATTTAATAAATGATACATTTGATAATAATAATAAATACATATATAATATATTATAATAAATTAGGAAGACGCTTACTGATAAATGGACGTTGTGAATTAATACTAAATAAAAAAAAAAAACTAAAAAAATTGTATTTAAACGTGTAACTATTTTTCGTCAATAAGTTACCTATATTATTATGTTTATTAAAAGTGCATAATATGATAGTTTAAAATTGTCTATAATATTATGTTTAGAATAATTAAAAAAATTAACTGAAATAATTTTTGAGATAGGTAGGTATTTCGAAATTTTTTCTTTTAGAGTTACAGTATAGTAGGTAGGTATACTATATAGTAGTGGTTTATTTACTTGTGTTGGATTTCTTACCTTGTTATATAACAATTAACAGGTTAGGATAATTGATTAGTAGTGGTAAAGTAATTTCGTCACGGAGAGTGGAGGGGGATGGCTAATTTTTTAACATAACTAATTTGATCGTTTAGAATATAATTTATAATTTATATTGTTATAATACAGAATTGGAAAAAATGTCAAGGGGGGGTCACCCTCTCACCACACCCACCTCCAAATGTTTGACCACCGCTGATTAACATTATAATACGCAGTTGGTTATTGGTTCTTATTTACATAATCTAAAATAATAGATACCTACAATATTCAAACATAAAGGTCATTAATTACTCATTTGAATAACATTGACATAAAATTGATTTAAAAAAAGTTAATATTTATAGTTAACGGGTTTTATTTTTGTACCGAACGCTATATAAAAGCATAACTGGAACAAATGTTATAAAAATAATTAGAAGTAAACACGGAGATTAATTAATGTCTATTGAAAGTATGTGTCCTTTATACATTAATACCAACTATTCATTTGGTATATAATGATTGTAAAATAATATTAAACTAAGGGTCGAGGGGTGTTTCATATGACGGGTACCTCCCTATGCATATATAACATCGGATTGGGGGTGATTTGTTTTTCGATATCTCATTTTTCCTGACTACCGATATCTTCTATTTATTCACAAGGTATTTCTTTAGTTTCGACTGAATAAAACAACAGTTTATAATTTGTCTTGTACTTAGAAGCTTACATAATATAGGTAGGTACTGAAGTTTATACGTGGGTGTAATTAAGCACATTTAGGCTTGTGTATACTTCAAAAATATTACATATTTAAATTTTGATATGCCTACTACAGGTTAGGTTATAGTATGGTTTTATTTTAACAAATTGTATCATCAAAATCTTTTCATTAATTATTGTGGAAATTATATAATACAGTTATAGAGTATTAAAGTGTATTGAAAACTATAAGTTAAACTGGGCATATGATTTTTAATTTATTACTTTGTGATATCGATGTAGGTATTTACTACATACATTTTAAAACCACGCTTGATAATATTTCTACAAACTTTTATAAGCTCAGCATAGTTTCCCTTAATTTAGGAGAAACTTTTGATAAAAACAATGCATGTATTTCACTCAAGAAGTAATATTGTATAACATACCTATCCAATAGTCTATCCCAAGATGACACAATAACTTGATAGATACACTTAACTAAATTGTATTGTTTTTTGATTAAACTTTAAAAGTTGTAAGTATCGAAGTACGATATATTGGTATAATGATACCTATACTAATAAAATGAAAAATTGATTTGATATTTAACGCCACTCATGTTTCAAATAATATATCAGGTTTATTATTTGTATACATTTTTTACAGGTATTTAGTAACGCTGATGCACTTTATAAAAGGAAACATTGGCTGTGGAATGTTGGCTATGGGAGAAGCCTTTAAAATTGGAGGTTTATACCTTACATTGATTATTTTGTTGTACGTGTGGCTAATTAGCGTCTACAATATGCATGTTTTGGTAAGTTGTTCAATTAAATAAATTAATATACTTGAAGAAAAAGAACCAATATTTATCTTCCAATATTTATTAATTGAATCTTTATGGTCTTGAGTTTACAATAACAGTTGTAAGGTTTACATAATTTTCAGAAAAATGTTTTTAAATTTGTTCACAGACTACATTGAGTAGGAAAGTGCAAAACCGTTTGCAAGCCAAACGTGCACCATCATTTGGCGATACCGTCGAAAATGCATTCAAAATGTCTGATAAATGGATATTTCGAAGTATATCAAATAATATTAGGTGAGGATTTAAACTCATAAACGTTGCATTACACATTATATATTTATCTTTTTTATGTAGAAAGATTGTTTTTTATAACATACTTATCACTCAACTTGGTTTATGCAGTGTATATATTCTTTTTATCGGCACTTCATTACAAAAGGTAAACGTAAAAAATATATTTATGTATTACATACCTATTTATTATTATAATAATAAGATTGTTAAAGTTCAATATATTTGTGTTGGGCTATATGTTATATACTTATATATATATATATATATATATATATACATTTAAAATGAGTGGTTAACAATGAATGTTAATAAAAGGTGATAAGGTTCAACACGAAATCAATTTCTTACATTTAGGTAATCTATAGATAATCTATACATTGTTTAATTGTGCTATTATACTTTCTATTCTATTTGTTCAAAAAAAAAAAAAAAACTTAATAAATAATACATTTACGTGTGCAATAAATAAATCATGATATTGTTCTTAGTGAAAACCAAATCGTAACAGCTAATAAGGTACATCTGCAGAAAGTATTAACATAAATACTGTATAAGGTCATCATAATGTAGCTCTTATTGAACAAAATTTTTTAGACATGTCATTCATCCAAATGGCCTCGAGACTCAAGTTCTGAATATAATATACCTAATTCAATTCACAATAAAAACTTCCATTATGAACAGTTTTGATTATTAACATGATTATATTATTATATTATTTACAAAAACACATTATTATTTTTCAAATGCAACACTTCCAGTGTTCCGTTATTAACAGATTGGTCGATTGGTTTTCAAACACTTAGGGATAACAATAGGTAGATACTAATTAAATTACAGAAAATATTTGTGAAGTTTTCATTCGGATGTTAAAAAAAAATACATCGAACACCTATACTGATACTTTATTGCAAAAATTGCATCACTCTCGTGTAAATGATAATTGATTAAACTTAATACATTTCTTCTACACCTACTTAAATTCTTCGTTATCGGCATTATCGCCAATCATAAATATAAGTATTAAGATCCAAAGATCATATATTATAACTAAAATCTCGACATTTCGGGATAGAATTTCCAACATGATTAATCCCGGTTGTGGAGAAAACTTAATTTTTTCAATAATATTGTGGTTGATGATTAATAAATACACATTATCATATTATTATATAATAGGATTTAAATAAATTAATCTAGATATTAAAAACAAACATTGTAAAAAAAATATATAATTACTTGAAGCTTAGGTAAATAAGGTCAAATAAATAATAAACAAACGCATATATTTAATATAAATTAATTAATAATTAGTGATGAAAATGACTAATCTTACACATTAAAAGACTTCGTACATATTATTTTGTTTTTTTTTTTTAATTAGGTACATAATGTTGCTATATGTATTATAAATTGAATAGGTAGCGAAACGGAATCATGGATCCAAGAGAAATAAAAAAAAGAAACGCTAAACGCAATAAATCATTTCTTGTACATATAGGAATAATTGTTTTTAAAAAATTACGTTAAGCAAATGAAGTAAATAAAGTATTATTATATTTATTATTACACAAATTATTATTTACATTTAAGTATTTTATATTAACATTTAGCGTGTAGAAAATAAAAATAGTGTTTAAATTTGAATAACCTATTATTACATAATAGTTTGTAGCTTGTAGAGTAGATTGGATTGAGTTAGTAGGTATTAATTAATCTTTATATTTTATTTGTCTAAATGTTCCGGTGTATTGTACCTATTATTTGTTTTTAAATTATTGCTTTATTTTTGTTTTAATTATTTTGCAGCTGTTACTTCAATACTCATATGAAATTAATATTCAAACTGTTCTATTATTTACAATGCCTTTAATAATGGTATGTGCAAGTTTGAGAAAATTGCGATTTATAGCACCATTATCAACTTTGGCCAATTTTGCATTGATTACTGGCGTTATTACGATAATGTACTATAGCTGTTCTGGACCATCATCTAAAGGTACTAGATATTCATACTCTAAATGGACTGAATTACCAACGATGTTCGGAATAATCATGTTTAGTTTTGAAGGAATTGGATTGGTAAATATTTAATTTAAATTGCATTAATTATTAAAATAATTGAATTACTTATGATAATTGCGTATGTATATTGTCTAGGCAATTATAATTAAGTAGATAAATTAATTAAATAAGCTTAATCGTAATGGTAAGCGAAAAATAATAGAATAATAATATTATTTTAATTTCATAATAATTATAATAACTACTATGTAGTATGTACTTCTCTTTTCAACCCAATAATTAAATAATTATAATAAAATTAAAATCATAAATTCATAAAATAACACTTAATTATACTACTTATAGATTAATTGTCCAAGTATGCACAGTATAAATACCTAGTTAAGTACTGACGATATACTGTCGTTTAATATTATTCATTGAATATTGGTATATGTCAATATATTATACCTATTATGTTATTTTAACTCATTCACATTCTAATATATATTAAGTTAGGGATATCAAAATTAAAATTACAACATTAGTTATATGACGTTGTATACTGTTTTCAAGACTTAATTTTCTACATATTTGTAAAAAAAAAAAAAACATTTACAAAAGTTTAAATATAAAATACTAGCAGTATTTTATACAATGAAATAGTGCATAGGTATCTCACCTATCCTATAACTCAGTTCACTCGGAAGTAAGGACAAATCCGACCGAGATAAGCAAATTGATTTAGACCTATCTACACCCCAAGCCCAGATTATGGGGAGTGGCTCCCTTGCACGATCCCGAAGCCCATTGATTTTGGGGGCGCATCTTCATCCCCAAAATATATTTTTTTAACGCGTCCAATATAGTTTTCAAAAAAAATTATTATTTAAGTATGTAGGTATACTAGGTAAATTATTAAATTTAATTATATATAATTTAGTTATTTAATTATGAAATAAAATTGTTCTCCATTTTATACCACAAAAAATTACTATAAATAATGAACTATGTTTGCCAACAATTTTGTTATGTTTTTTTTTGTGCATTTTAGATTACCGATTTAACTATATTTAAGTATACAAAAAGGTAGTTATAAGAAAAAAATATTTAGCTCTTGTAAATTAGGTATTTCAGTTAAAAGTATTAATGTATATTAAACAAAACTTTAGAGGACCATAATTAATAACCTAGCGAACCAAAATTGATCATTAAATGATGTCAAATTTTGACTGTCAAAATATTCAGAAAAAAAGTTTTACAGAATCCATTGAAAACTATAATAAAGAAACACGTCTTTTTTTGTTCTAACGAAATTCCATATCATCGATTCGTAATTGTTAAAAAAAAAAACAGCGTACAATGACATATAATACACCCTGTATATTTTTTGTATGGTAAAAAATTATACAATAATATTAAGTCGTTAATATTATGTATAATGATACAATTATTTTGAAGTTAAAGTTGAAAGGGGGCCCACAAGTGTAATGTGTCCCGGGGTCCAATTGATCCTTAATCCGGGCTTGCCACACCCAAATATCTAAAGATATTAACAACGAATGTTAACAATACAGATTTTTAACACAGTCAAGAGAGAGTTTCCGACATTCAGTAAAACAGTTTCTTTTTTTTTGAAAATTCGCTGTAAACCCCGTACAGATTGGCATGTTTCTAATTCATCGTTCAATTTTCCGGTGACATGATCAGGTCTATAAGACTAGGCTTCAATCCTTGCTGGAAAGTCGAGCTATCCGACCAGCGAAAAAACCACATTTAAATCCATTCGGTGGTTTTTGAGGAGATGCGAGTAACGACGCGAAAAGCCAATTTTATATGAACATAATATTATTATGCACGTATTAACAAAAGATACTACCTATTAGATAGGTACTCATATTTTTCATTAAAAGAAGGAAACATCAAAATTTGTTAGTACGCTTCGATTAGGTGAATTCAAAAAAAATATATATTTTACCCTTCGTTCTTTCATGCCAGATATTATAATTTATCAGCATTCAGCGTCGTTATTATAATATTATTTAGTGACTTATAACAAATTAAAATATACATTGTGGAACGGCGCATATGGTAGGCAATTCTCCTACACCCGTGTGTTGAAACACATAATATCATAAAAACACATTAATTTATATTTCAAGTTATGTAATAAAACTTTTTGGACGTAATTTATATTAATATAGTTTTCTATTAATATATCAAAAACAGTGAATAATAATGATAATAATATTTTAATTGTATTTTGGTTTTAACATAATATTATTATGTTAGTCGATATATGACAATATGATACTTGATATGCACTTAGTTTAAAAATTAGAACAGTTACCTAAATTAATTTATTTTTATCGTGATATTTTAATATTATGTCTAAAATTGATAATTTGTACATCCATACAGGTTTTACCTCTTTTCGCGGAGATAGACGATGGTAAAAAGTTTACATCGAGTTTTGGAGTCTTGAATTTTGGTATGGTAGCCGTAATGATGTTAAACGTGCCTTTGGGTATGACTGGCTATTCGAAATGGGGAGATGACGTGCAAAGCAGCCTGACATTGAATTTGCCATATGATCACGAGTGAGTCGATAAATCAACAAAATAATGTATAGTATAATACCCTATAATATAATATATTATGTTAAAGCATATTATAATGTATAATACTTTTAAAATTATTTTAAATGTCTTTTTTCTCGGACGGTTTATATAGTTGATACGTAAGGAGGGGGGCGCATGTACACGAGTTTTGAGGTATTATCTACTTCGATGAATTTATAACCTTACAACTACATAAAATCGTCATAATATATACAGTTGTAAATATTGAGTAATTTTTTTTCCAACAGATTAACACAATTCGTAATACTCATGATGATATTGGGTATAGCTTGTTCGTATGCGCTTCAATTTTACCCAGCAGCCGTAATTGTCTATAGTGACCTTGAAAAAATCTACGGACCTTTTAACCATCCCGCAGTATGGGATTATAGCATCCGGATATGCATATGCCTTGTAACTTGTAAGTAAATAGATGTAATATATTATTATTATTGATATTGGCAACAGTCAATAATTATTCGCTCTTAATATAAATACGTTTATGTATAGGTAGGCCAAAGCTGGGCAAGTTAGTCATTTTTTTCAACTTGTTGAAGTTAAGTTACTTTAATAAAAAAACTAAGTTAGAATACAAGTTAGTTTCTGAAACTGTTCAAATTTCTAACTTAGTTAATTAGAAGTTAGTTTAGTGAAAATAGTAACTTAAGTTAGAGTAGAAGTTAGAAGTTAGTTTAGTGAAAATAGTAACTTAAGTTAGAGTAGAAGTTAGAAGTTAGTTTTTCTTATAAATTAAAAAACCTTTTTGTTGAAATGTAATTAATAAGTTATCGAACTTAAATTATTGATTAAAACTGAAAAATTGAATTAAACACCAAGTATAATATGTTCTAATTAGGTAAGTAATAATTTCAATTAATAATATAACTGGAAATTACTTGGTGTCTTAGTATATCACTTATCAGTTAGGTATTATACGTATTAGAACATAAAGGGTGAAACAAAATAAACAAAAATATATAACAGAATGACGACTTAAAATATTAATATTAAATAATAATACATACGTTGCGACCGTAGATATTACTGATATTGTGATATTATAATATACCTAGTTATTAAATCTTAAATATAGGTAATACTGTAATAGTTAAATAGTAATATAGATAAACGGGTAAACGTTAACCACCGATAACACTACCACGAAAATTTGGCATCGTGTCTACACTAATGTCTAATCCCACCAAAAATATATATATAAAATGAGAGCCAGGTTCAATACTATAATATATGCCTTGGTTGTTGACTTCAACGACAAAAGAAGTGAGATCTAAATGGGTGCCAAGTTAGGATAATATATTGAAGCCTAAGGTCTGACTTGGCTAGTTTTCATATACGAATTATTATTAAGTACCTACCTAATAGGACAGTAATGGAAGAGTGAAGATGATTTTCCGAAGAATAAAATAAGAACTCACAGCTTTAGAACTTGAGAATGCTATAATATAATTCGTAGCCAAGTCAGACCTTAGGCTTCAATATATTATCCTAACTTGGAACCCATTTAGATCTCACTTCTTTTGTCGCTGAAGTCAACAACCAAGGCATATATTATAATATTGAACTTGTCCCTCATTTTACATCTATGTTTTTGGTAGGATATCATTACTTTTTGTGTGTAAATTATTATAACCTAACCTAACATAGCCATGGCGTATTCTATAAATAAAGTTTATTACTATATACTATAATTCAGTAACTAACATTAATATTATTTATTATAAAATATTTTCTGTGTATACAGAGTATAAAATATAAAATTAATATACAATTATTTTATCTCTTTTTGAGTATATTTTTAATCATCATATTTTTAAATACTATAATTTCTACTGGTGGGTGGGTATTTCATAATCGTAAGATTAATTATTTAATTATTTTAATTGTATTTTTTTTTAAATTAATATTAATTACATACATAGAAAAAAAAGTATGTTGCTGCGCGCGAGTTGCCAATATCGACACATATTCGACTGGACGTATTTTTGGAGAGGCGATACGGGAAAGGTTAGCGGAGCTATTTAAGTCATCATTACATTACATTACATTAAATTAGAGGCACTTGATTAATTAATTGAAAAATTAAATATAATAGATCAATTAATTGAAAAATTATAATAATATCAATTGATTAAAAAATTTAAAAATTAAAAATTAAAAATTTTCAAGTTTCCTTTGTATTAACCTAATTACCTATCTGTATGCAAAATTTGAACTTTCTAGGTCATCTGGAACTGGGTTAGAATTTTGATCTATAGGTCAGGTTAGGTCAGTCAGTGAGTGATAAAAATGACGATTTGGGACTTTAATATCTAAATAACTGTTTGAGGTGTGTTTATGAAATTAGGAGCACATATGTATCTCATAAGTTTGAATATATGAGCCAAATTTGACATGTTTATGTGGAATATATTTTGAGTTATGAGGGGGTCAAAAGTGGCTCCAAATGGTTCGTGTAATAATGCTATATACACACAGTGCTGCTCGCCAGTTCTGTTAGCTAGAACTTGGCTGTGTCTAGATTGGTTAAGCCACCCAAATAGATACTATTTATATCTAGTAGATATCAACATTCTACACACTGCTCTGAAAAGCCGTGGTTCCTGAGAGTGCATTATTATAAATACTAATAATTAATAATATATATATGAGCCAATAATTTATATAGGCATTTAGTCATAATGTCATGATTGAGGAACAGCTTTTGGAATTTTGGAGTGAAAAAAAATAATAATAACTGGTTAGTTTTTTTTCTAACGAGTTAGATTAGACTATTTCACACATTAAATTCAACTAGTTAAGTTACAAAGTTAATATGAATTAAAACTAACTAGTTAGTGCTCAGCTTTGAGGTAGGCGCAGTAATGTTTTATACTACTATTGATAGGTTAGAGTTGGGCGTATTATACGATATAATAGCAAATGTGTAATATTATGATTTTGGAAAATTAAAACATTTAAACATCTAAAATTGAATAAATATTGTGACCCTTGAAATATGAGTTGGTGTATCATACATTTATACTTTTATATAAGTATTATGTTTCTAGAGTATTATATAATATTTCACGCCTACACCTAAGCTTAACACAATAATAATTGTAATATTTTAATTAAATTTACAAGCTAAATTAATTTCATAAAAGTGTGATATCAAAACATATATATTGAACTGTTTTTGAAATAGATACGACTTGTTTATACATCCTATTGGTTACTAAAAAAAATTATGTGATTTAGGTCACTTATCATAAAAAATATACTCTACACTAAACAAACACATTGCCTAATCAATTTCATTTAATGCAGGACTTCTATTTTTATTATAAAATAACGAATTGACTACCCCACAACAGTTATAACCTATTATATATAAATCATAATTGGATATTACTATTATTACTTAGGCTAGGGACTGATAGGAGTTGCAGGTTTTTTTAATATGCATTCAAAACCTAGCTTATAGTAACATAGACATGTGTTTCATAATTCCAGGGGTCTACAGTAATTTTTTTTTTCCATATTTTCCATATTTTGTTCTTTTTGACGTGTTAGTATAATATATATTTTTGTTATATTTGAATTTTAAGTGTATATTTTATATACATTTTTAAATCATAATTAAATTTTATTTAAATTGGTAAAAAAAATGTATGCAGGTGCCTATGCATAAAAGAATATTCAAAGAATATTGTATAGTTGAAATTATGAACCACCGATATGTTTTATCAATTTTAATCACACAATGCCATGCCACAATTAATTTGGGTAATAAGTAGTATTTACTAAATTAACCATAAAAAAATAAACAGAAAATTAATGAATGGAATTTTCATTTTTCTTTTTTTTTTCAAACAAGCCTAATAATACCGAAAAGCTGTAGATATAAGCAACGATTTTCATAGATTGTATTTGTTTATTTAATTTTTTATACAATTTACATTAATTGGATTAATGAAAATTTTTACAACATAAATTAATAATGTCCAGGCTAATAACCTCAGTAGTTAAAGCCTCACCCCCCCCCCCCCCAAAAAAAAAAAAAAAAATTAATAATATTACCAATAAAAATATTTTTCTGATATTTAGTGTAGTCAAAATATTTCGGTTCCTAAGGCATATTTTAAGAGCATATTAAAGTTGTTGCACATATTTTAAGGTTATATTTAATTTTTTTCAGGGCATAAATAAATGCACATTTTAAGGTTATGAATGGCATGAAGTCCCTAGACCTACACTAATTAGTCATTGCACTTCTATTACTATTATATAGCTATATTATCCAAACTATATAATATATTTTATACACATCAAACATATCATCATCCACTGCCTAAACTTCAACGAAGCTAGGAAAGACTTCAACATCTCTGACAACCTGTACAAAGCAATTGATCCATTTTCAAACTATCAAAACCTAATTTTAAATTATTAAAAAAAAATTATTAAAAAAAAAATTGAATTGTACAATAACATGAAAATTAATACTCTTGTTAAAGCTAATAACCTCTGTAATCACTAATCTGTATAGTTGATGCTTAACCAATGAAGGAAAAAATATATATATATTTTATCTATTTTTTGAATTTGATTAAACATTTTTTTAAATTTCAACATAACATCAAACATGGTTACGTCAAACTAAGCTAATGGTATTAAATATAATAATTTATTATATCATGCGTAGGTACCTACTAGATTATATCATAACCACTTGTATTTTGAATTGAATATTGACCGTACATTGTTTTAAAATTTATAATAAATATTATAATAGTTGTGGTATTACTTAAAACGTATACTCACATCATTTAAAAAATCAAGTGAAATGTAAATTTATATTTTTTTTTTTTATGTATAAATTTTAGACCTGGCTGCCAGTACAGTCCCGCATTTGGACCTGTTCATGTCGTTAGTGGGTTCAGTAACTTGCGTTGCGCTTACCATGATTTTCCCTGCACTATCCAATTTGGCGTTCCGGACGAAAGACAAATGTTCATTTTTCGGTACATTTTTTGACATGGTGACCATACTTACGGCAGTGATTGGTTCAGTCACCGGAATTTACGCCAATACAACGGCCATTTATGAGGCGTTCTCGCAAAACCACAGCAATGGCTAAATCTGACTCGGACGTTTGGTTAGTTGAATTTACGTTCTACATTACTATAACTATGTCACCGTGACACCCCTGTATATTAATTATTATTATATATATATTTATATCACTGTATTTTATTTTTATATTAATAACCAGTTGTTTCTGATATAGTAATTCTGTTGTTCAGAAAAATTAGATGATTAAAAATTAAAGTTAAAGTAAAATGATGAGAGAATGAAATATACAGTAACGTATGTCACGAAGAAAACTATAAGATAAAGTGAGACAATAAATCTCAAGTAAAGCGATTATTCAGACATTCAGTATTACATTTTTTTTTTATGTTAGATAGGTACCCCTATTTTATCCGTTCGAGTATGTATATTATATAATTTTTTTTTTTTATTGATAGCTATATGTGACTGATCTAACATTATAACTTGAATTTAAATGAAACAATGCAATATTTATTGGAACTACAAGATTTTTTCCATTCAACTCTTACATATTTTTCGTTGCAGTTTTGCAATTTTGCAATATTTATGTTTTTCCTTCATACAATTTAAAATATTCTTAATCTAACTTTAATAAGTGAATAATATTTATATGAAATATAAAAGTATAATAGGTAGGTGTAACTTACTTTCCTTAACTTTTTATGAACTATCAATCGAACAGAAAACATTGTTATATAAAATATTTGATTAGATAAGTATATTAATGTTATTAGGATATACTTATATACAATTATTTGTCTAACAATAAAGCTATCACTAAATATTTCAAACTCAAAACATTAAATTTGATTCGTGTAGAGGACTTATTATTATAATTTATAATATTTGTTTACATTTTTGTTGTATAGCTTTTTCTGAGTTAAAATTTAAATTACATTATTGTTTTAGATAGGTAATATTGACTTGTAACGTGTTTTTACTTTTTATATCTTAAATTCTTAATAATTGATTGATTGAGATTGATCATGTTTCAATTTATATATGTATTTATCTCATTTTTTACTATCTAAGAGTTTACAAATTTAGTGCGAATGAATGTGATTTGTTGAAACCTTAACTCATTCTCATATTTCAAACAGTCAATTGTTTTGATAGAAAAACACTTGATAATACTTAATAAGTAAATTTTTTAAAATTATGTAATTCAAAGTCAACTAAAAAAAAGGAGTTGCGATTCAAAAACAATTTGGTTTTATTGTGAAAACGGGAAATTAAAGGTTAACAATTTAAATTTATTCAATTACAAGTCTTTTTATTATGCAGTAAAAAAAAACCTAGTCAAATTCAAGGTCATGAGTTTGAAATATTTCAATACATATAATATAATAATATTATTATACATAGTACCTACATACATTTAAAAACTAATAACAACAGATAACTTGTCATAATAATAATAAAACATGTGTATTGTAATAAACCTTTGATCGAAGCTCTCGTTTTCTTTAATTCACACATTGTTAGCAACTATCAATTTATTCCGAGCTTATTATTTACCTGAAAATGTTTAACGATAGACATATTACATTTAAATACACACACATTCCGGGCTAATTAATCCGGTCTAGGATTGAATGAGAATTAAGTTGAGGTAATATAGTATAGGTATATTTCCGTTGAGTATTGATAGTTAATTTTATTACGTACCTAGCTAGGTAGTAGGTAACCGGTAGGTACCATATATTTAATATTATTAATTATACTATATATCTACTTATATTATGTATGGTAGGTACTATATGATACATCTATAGACTATAACATATAGGTACCTAGAATCTTAATACTATAATAGTGTAACTTATAATTAATTTGGAATGCCTATAAAATATTATATTCGATTGGGTTCCTGAGTTATTGAATTACATTTTTGTATAACTGCTAAGACGTATTTGCAGTTATCAACAATTATAAATAGTTTAAGGTAGGTAAAAACTAATGAAACGAAATTGAATTGGAATTAAACTATCTGCCCTGAATGATATAATATATTAATATGATTGGGTCTTTTAATTGTAGAAAAATAAAATAAGTAATAATAAGTACCTATACCAATTTAACTTCGATTATACCTACTATCTTAAGTACTGAACTAATTATACCTACTTCCTATTATTGTTTACCTACTCTGTATGTATTTCGTTCAGTTAAATATAATACCTATATTAAATATTTTTTTTTTAGGGGGAGCAATAAAAACAAACAACCACTAGACCAGTAATTTGATTGAACCGTTGAACTTGAACACATTAGAAACGACCGAGAAATGGTTCATGCAACGGTATTAGAAAGTAACCCTCAAAAATGGATGGTACAGCAGTTAGTTTTTATTCGGTTGGCGGTTTTAATAACTATATTATAAAACACCAATTTAAAGACTTAACTTTAGTTTTTATAGGTTACATCTATAAATGTTTACCATATACTTTTAACATACTATATATATCATATATGTCAATATATATAATATTATGTATATTAAAATATTATATTAAAACTACTGTATCAGTATACATGTGTATAAAATAACTTATATATTATATATACATAATTATGAACTTTGATAAAGTATTATAAATTTCTTAAATATACGTCTATTAAACTACAGTAAAAATAGTTTTTTACTGAAATAAATAAGTTGCTAGTGTATAATAGAATAATATACATTTTTTTTTCTTCATAAAACAATTTGGTAACTAACCAATTTAATATAACTATGTTTAATATTTATTCGATTTTATGTTTACACACGATAATATGTTCGTTCACACGAGAAATAACTACTACTTTTAATCCAAACAATTTTTGATTTACACTAATTTAATAAACTTAAAAACTGTATACCTACATATTATTATACTCACTTATTTACCGCGCTATTGATACCGGATTATTATTCATTTATCCCCATTTCCCCTCTCTTATTAGTATTCCTTTGTCCTCAATTCAAAATGGCCATGGCCGAGTTAAGGCACCAAATGCACATGCAAGAGGTAGAAAAAAAAATCAAACTATTGCAGATGAACTGGTTCATAAAGAACTACGAAGAGGCTAATGAAAATCCAGATAAACCAAAACCGACCGTTTCGGTGCAATCGACCAAGCTCATTGACGAGATACGGGGAATGAGAGCCCTGATCAAGGACATAAATGGCAAGCTAGAAGAGTACCAGAAGGAAATAAACGCGAAAGAGTTCGAAAAACCGGAAGAGACCACACCAGACATTTCGTACATGTACCCGGTACCATTCGATATCGAACAACAACTGTACAACGGTATGAGATATTATAAATTAAGTATAGGTAGTAAATTAACATACCACCTGTATTTAATATAGCCATATAGGTACGACACAGGTGGCATATAGGTGTCCGCACTTAATATTTTCGAAAAGTTTAAACTATTTGGAAAATATACTCTTTATAATATGCTCTTCATTATTCAGAACACAATTTCTGGAAAAAAAATATAATTCTTATCGTTTTAAGTTTTTTACATTTTTGAATGACGCTGCATACTTTTTTCATTGCGTTCCGACTTCCGAAGCAGAATATTATTTGGAGACTGGAGTATTTCAATATATTATAAAGATCAAATTTCGGACAAGTATATTTGGTAGGTAGTTCATTATAGTTAGATACCTATAAGCGGTAATAACTCTATACGCGTAAAGCACTCAAAGTTTCGATGAGCGGAGTAGTTAACAGTGGTACAGGTGTATAATTTACCCCTCAAAATGTTTACAAAAATAATAAAAATTTTCTAAACAACGAGTGTAGAAAACTAGGAACCTAAATGAATCACCTAGCTAGTACCTAGGAATCGTCAGCGATATATTATTTGAGTTACCTTCATATATTATAATACATTAATTATTAAAAAAAACCTACCAATATATTTTTACCGAGCTATTATTTTTAGCACAAAGCTTCCAATTTATCCAGTAAATTATTGTGTTTTTGATAATATTTATTTTCCATTATTTTGAGAGGTAGGTAGATATAAAGTATAGACTATTATAGGTATGTCATATGAATAATAATAATAATAATGAGCGTTATATGCATCGGCTTGGTAATTATTTTTTATATGTAGGTACCTACTTACATATTTGTATGTGTAAAACCAGTTCCGCGACTAAGATATTTTGAGCCCCGGGGCAGCAGAAGTTTTAGTGCCCCAATTGTCTGTACATCATATTACCACCCTCGACCCTCCTGTAATAAAATGCTTTCAACCCTGCCACAATTATAATATAACCGTGATGGATCGTAGGATGATTTCTCGAATTTTTTTACATCAGTGTTCATATTAAATATCTTAACCACAGAATAGATTAAACCTATTCTGTGCTTTAACCATGGTTATAAAACACTAAAGTACAATCACCAATGTCATGGCTGAATCGCGGAAAAAAAAGTCCCGATAGAAATTAATGAAAATGAAAATTGAAGTATAAATACGTTAAAAGTGTATTGAAAAATACATGAAAGTTACATAAAAAATCATATAATATCATAAAAAATGTTAAGTACTTACTCAAATAACATATTAAAATCATAGGCGTGCGCACGGGGGCAGCAGAGGCAGCATATGCTGCCCCTGGACTTTCTTTGGGGCCACCGGGGCCGGCAAATATTAAATAATGGGCCTCGGTAAAATTATATTTCCACAAAATTTTTTTTTTGTTTTGATAAACTATAGATAAATATTTTATATAGGCTTGTAGAAAAGTACACCTTTAGTGGCTTAGTACCTTACTGTACAACCTTTTATCCAAAAAACAAATAACCAATACAATTTTAATTTTGATATTCAATAGTAAAAAAAGTAAAACTATGAGCTGGTTTTAATGGTGAATTTGAAAAATGGGCCGAATTAATCTCTTGCTGCCCCTGAAACCGGAGGCTGCGCACGCCTATGATTAAAATATAATAAAATTTAATTTAATAGAAGTCTATAAAATAATAAAATGGAATACAATATAGTCAACAGTCTATTTTGTAAAGTACCTATTCGAATATAAGTATTTGAATACTTGTATTTAAATACTTTTTGAAGTATTTATATGGTATTCTAAACACAATTTTTTGATATATTTTTTTTAAGTATTTTGAATACTTTTTAAAAGTATTTTTAACAAAATTTAAATACTTGTATTAAAATACCGTAAAGTCCGTTTTATTCATTTTATATGGTTTCTGTATTGGAATTTTTTAAGAAAACCGAAAATCTAATAATTTTAAAATAGCTAGTTCTATATTAATTATAGTCAATACCACTTTTTATTTTATTTTTTTTTCATTAAAATTTAATCAATATTAGTTGTAATATATCTGAATTCAGAATGAAATACGTGAACATGTATATTTATCTCTAAATAGTCAGATATGTTATAGTGATTAATAATTGTTTAAATCTATGGTAAGTATAATAACATAATAGATACCTTTAGTGATGACTGATGTACATTGTACAATATACATATATATTATAAAAGTAGTATAAAATAAAAAAAAATACTTGTATTTGTATTCAAATACTTTGTGAGTATTCGTAAAATACATTTTTATAATAGTTTTTAAAAGTATTTTTTACAAGACTGATGACAATATTAAATACAATTATTGTACCTATATAGTTATAATAATAATGCTATAAAAATGTAATATTATAATTAGGTACCTACCAGTCCCTAAAATATCCAAATTTTCATACTACACACATAGCCCCAAATCGGTCAAATCTAAATTATTTCTAGATAAACACTATAGTATACTATATACCACCGTTCAATATTAAGCTGATAATAATCAAATAGCTACTCTTAATAACAATAAATAATAATAACTATATAATAAGAGTATAAGACGTAACAATACAAAATATTGTTTACTGCGTGCTGTGTAGTAGATAATAATTAAAATATGGTTTGGCAAAAAACCATTAAAATATAAAAAATAATGTGAAGATATAAAATTATACATAATATTATTATAAAGGTTTAATTATTAGAATAACACACTTTTAAATTTCGTACTACACACTGCACTTTTCGTATTACACAAAGTGTGTCGTACTACACACAATTTTAGGGACTGGTACCTTGTACCTACACATCTTTCTTATGTTATGACTTACGGCTGTTAAAAAGGCCTGTTTATAGGTATACATATATAACCTATTATTATACCAAAAACGTTTGTTTTTATGTAATGTTCCAAATAAAAGTTTAAATTATAAGTATCTATAGTAATTTCGTACATATTTATTAGTCTCTATATTTGAAAAACCATCCAAAATGAATTTTTATTATAACAAACTAACATTTTTTTAAAAATTACCTCTGCTAATTACCTACCTTTCAATTTATGATATATAATTTATAGTATGAAACTTTTTATATATATCTATACATTTTGATATAGGTTTAACCATATTATCATTACACTAAAACTAAATAGTACCTAGGTACCTAAATTACTAAATTATAGCAAAAGCCAAAAATATGATCTTTATTAAGGAACTTGAAAATTAAATATATATATTAAAATATATACACTATATAGTATATAGGTATGTAAGCTCCCTTCTATTTTTTATGAAATTATATGATATTTTTATGTAACTTTAATTTATTTTTCATTACAATTTTAACATATTTATTCTTCAATTTTGATATAGGTATTTTAATTCATTTTTTTCGGGACTTTTTTTTCCGATTACCGTCATGGCCACATATTCTATTGTCGAATTTCAGAAAAACGAAAAATTGATTATAAACCCTATAAGAGAATAAATATCGTGATATCGTACAACTATAAAATCGATGAGAAAATTATTAACAAAATATTATGAAATAGATAAACATTTTATATTTCTTAATTTTTATAATCATTTATTACTATTGAATCTAGACTAACACAGAAGGTGTCCAATCGCAGGAATTGTGCTCTAAAATTAATCTCATAGTGCCCTTTTACCCCCCCCCCCCCCCCCCCGGGTAATTGCGGCACTGTGTAAAACCGTAAAATAAATGTGATGGTAATATATTACAATAATAATTGGTAAATGGAAAATGATCATAACATATCGTATACATACATAATAATGCAGGTCCTAAACGTACTATTATGCAGGCATAAGCAGGAACGAAGAAGGCCGGTATCGTTATTTGAAATCGAGAAACAGATTTTCACCGGACGAAAAGTACAGAGTGTGTCCGACGTACAGCTACAAACACGGATGGAACAGTAATCGAATGGGCCCCAGCGTGAAACCAAAGCACGGTAGAAAACAAGTGTTAAAGAAAGCGATGTACAGTATACACGGCATCACACTATACGAAAAGCATCCTACTCAAAGACCTCCGAATTCAGCCGGAAACTTGGAAATCGAGTCTTTATGAAAATAAAAAAAAAACATTTTAACATTTTAAACGAACAAGTCGTTTGTATTTTTCACGAGCACAAGTCCGATGTGATATGGTGAAAAACGGTTTTATTTATTTTGCTGTAGTTTGAAAAAATATTAACCACCAACCTTTTCATTGTCGCTTCAAATTTACAAAATATCTTTATCCAATTTTAAGCGGTTCACAGTTTATACCAAGAAGTTTAGAACCAATTCGCACCACTCTACGTTTCTACAGCGTTTCGGTGTATTGACTTGTAAACGTTAATGATATCCAAATGGCAATTAATATAATATGCAATGATTTTGTCAATAATTGGTTCAACTTCAACCATCCATGTTACCTACTAATATAAAAATAAATTACCAATAGGAAAGAATATAAAAAAAATATCTTTAGAAATAAATTAATATATTGCTATAACGATCCACCTGATGACGAAATTAATCAACGATAATGCTCGGTCACCGACAATTGACAAAGATGCTGTAGGTTAGGTTAGGTTACATAACATATATGTATTTTTTTCTTTAGTCTACATTTATATGGTTAGAATATCTTGTAGTCTAGTTTGTGAAACAACTTAGTCATAACTAAAACTATAGTATGGTCGAGACGAGAATTATAATTATTGTTAAATATTATCTGCAAAGAGATTAAAATGAACATGATAAAAATCAAAATAAGTCACATTTTATATTTTATATAACTTAATAATAGTTACAGAATAATAATTAATAATGAATATAATGCATTCATAACACAAAGATATTCACATTGTTTTATAATACGACAATATGTACATACAAATAACATTTATTATAATAAACATAATACCTATATGGATATATGGTAATATATTTTATACTTAGGTAGGTAGGTAGTAGGTGTACTAAAACTTGAAAATAATGATTTTTATTTAATAAAAGTTTAAGTAAGTTATAAAATATAACATTAATAACAATAATGTTTTAAAAGAAATATCAAATAGAATTCATTATATTGTTTATATTTTAAAACAAAATTAAAAACCATAAAAAATTACGTAGATGGTAGATGGAACAGCAAACACATATTTATTTAAAGAACAAGAATTATCACATCTAAAAGAGATTATGGCGATATATTTTATTATTCTAACTATATTATTATATTATTTAGGTAGGTATATCAAAGATAATTACATTAGCCATAAGCTTAGATAATAGTCAGACAATAGAGGAAGTGATGTATCTAGTATTTAAAATATAATTAGTTATTAATATACAAATAGATAAATAAAATAGTATTTAATTAAAAGTAATTGTTTATATGGTTGAGATTTTAAGTTTACAGTTTTAATGAAAGGAATTGTTTTTATATCAAAATATCAAAAATTTCATGTTATCAAGGGTTTAGGTTACTAAGAGCAATAAGAGCTACCTCTTTAGCAGTGGTCTTTAACCTTATTAATTGACTCACAACCCATTTCATTTACTATTTATTTTTTGAGACCAGTTTCAAAAAATCATGATTTAGAGAAGACATTTTCCCTAGATTGTACAAAATATAAAAGCTGATTGATAAATATTGTAATAAAAACGGACCAATTTTTAATTAATATTAAGTGTGTGTGTGTGTGTGTGTATCATGTTTGTACTTGTTGTGATACTAAAAAATCGGGTTTAAAAAAATAAATTCTTAAAAATTGAAAATTAAAATATTAATTTGACTTGCATGTACTTATGAAATAATCCATATAGGAGATATTAAAAGGAGATACAATTTATAGGAGATACAAAAAACGAATAGTTAGGTTGTACCGCTGACCAAATTGCAATGTATTTAATAACAAAGTACATGCCCCTAATAATTGGTGTCATTTGGCAATCTGCATATGCAAATAATGTTAAATTACACCATCTGGTGTCATCCGCAGTAACCATGTTAATTTATTATTACGATTATATACATTTTATTCGCTTTGTACAGTTGAATGAAATACATTTTTACTGTATGTTTTTTTTTTTTGAAATTAAAAGTATATTGTGAGTAAATTTTGTAGCACACGTGACCCGCCGGTTGAATTGGTTGAAGACCACTGCTCAATAGTCTATACTCTATAGTATAATGGAAATTTAATTAACAATCTAAAAATAGTGAAACAGAATTTACAAAAATCAGGATTAAATATATTGTACAATGGAACAAGATAATTTTCTATTTAGCTACCAGCAATAATTTATAAAATAAAAGATGTATATAAATATGATTAAATATTTAAATTACATTTAACAAACTCAAGGGTTTGCTCGATATAATATATACTTAAACCCCACATGGCTACATTACAATTAAATTTATAATTACAATTATTACACAATAGTCTATTAGTACATATATATTTTATTTAGTATACAATAAAGAATTTATACCAAATAGTTTTCCATATTTTTTTTAGCTTTACTTTGTTATTAGTAGTAGTAGTAATATATGACAATTGAAAAGTAAAATAGATTATTGTCTTATGATAATAAAAGTAATATATTATAATATTATAGTTTTAAATGGCACCCCAAGTATATGCCGAGTTTCATGAACAATCATTAAACATTTAATGAATCAATAGTGAGCTAATGATCCCTTAAACATGACTTAAAGGCCCATTCAATTTTATTGAACCGTTATATAAATATACTTTTTATGCAACCCTGCATTAGTGTAATAATTGAACAGGCTATGGTTTAGTCATTTATTTTATGAAGAGGTACAAAATCAAAAGACTAAATCAAATTTTTAAGGGAAATACAAAATTACAATAATCATTAAAAACTCATAAGTTTAATATAATATATACACACTAACAGACTAAGGGTCATTCTTACAATGTCTGGTTATGTGTCCGTTCATTTTAACCGGACATTGTAAGAATGACCCTAAATCAAGTAAAGAGATTTTTCTCAATGAATTTAAGTCAATCATTATATTATTAACCAAAAAAAATATAATATTATTCATTTTTAATAATATATTTTTGGTTGTAACTAATTACAACCTACGAGCAAACCCATAAATTCAAAATGCATCTTACAATGTTCATAGTCGATTACATAGTTATTTTTATATAGTATTACATTTTTGGGTAAACTATTATTCACAATTAATCTTTCCCAAAATATTTACTAAATTAAATATCTAGGAAACTACTATGATATTATTTTTAAAATTAAGTTTCTAAAACAAAACTTTAAAAAAAAATTATTAAAATATATAAACAGAAATATGAAAATTGAGCTAAATAATGGATATAAAATCCATATGGTTAAATAACGACCATCAATGGAAGAGTACAGAACTGGGATCTTCATTATCAACCTGTTTAATGTAACGTAAAATATCTTTCTTTGTTATTACTCCCAAAAGCCTCCTGGAAAATCAATACAAGATTCAAAAAATTGCAGATACAAATTTAAAAAAAATATTGATAAATATCAAACTACAAACCCGTTGTGTGTAACCAATGTTTGTCGAAGTCCTAATTTTCTGAACATATCAACCACAGTCTCCATAGGCGTTTGATCGGTAATTGTAATTGGGGCCATATCCAGAATTTTTTTTAATTTTAAGGGTGGCGGCATTACTTGTTGGGTTATGTCAGTAAAGAGAACTAAAGATTCAGGTAATAGTCCATCAATGGTTCGTTTTGCATTTTCTGAAATTATTTTTATAATTATTATTTACAAAGCACATAATATAAACTAATAAGTTGAACCTTACCTAATGCCAATTGCAAATCTCTTCGTAACACATATCCAACAAGATATTGAGATTCTCGTGAAACCACAACCGGAAATCCATTATGTTCAGTGTCTTTTAATAATATTTCGGTATCTTCTAGTGACATTGAAGACTGAGTGAGAACGTTCAAATTCTCGGCTCGTCTACATTTAGTTATAATAATTATATATTACATTTGTTGTTTGTCCAAATATTATTAAATTATTGTAAGTACATTTTCTTCAATTTGGTTTTCTAATTTAATATTGATTTTAAAATTTTAATACTAACCGAGGCTGCATAACATCAGCTGCCAAAGCTGTGTGAACAATATCTTCTTTACTGTCCAAAAACGGATAACCATTTAATTGAATATGAGCATCATACATTCCTTCCTTGCCCAGTGCATCACCAACCCATTTGCTAGCCATGACAGCTGCCATCAACGGAACTATGTATCTCACACCACCGGTCAATTCAAACATAATGACTACCAACGAAACTAAAAAATTAAATTTAACAAAGTGTATTTATTGTTTGTACTATGTAACTTTAGTTGAAATTTATGATGCTCGATAGTTAACATTGAGTAATATAATATTGTTACCAGTCATTCGGGTTACTCCTCCTAGAACAGCAGCAGCGCCTACCATGGCATACAAGCCAGGAGTAATACAGCCTTCTTGGCCAGGTAATCCACAACTATTGTCAAAAAACCATAAATGGGGATGTTTAGCAGCTAATTGTTGCATCAAAATACCAACAATACGGCCAGTGATACCGCCCATAGCCAAACTCGGGATGAACAGACCACAAGGCACCTGTAAAACATAGTAACACAATATACATATAACATTAGCGATATAAATATATAACATTTGCAATAACATTACATTTTGTTGATTTTTATACCTTTATGCCAAATGTAAAAATTGTAGTGACTAATTTCAATACAAATGCCATCGACAGAAGTAACATAGCTGTGTACACCCCGGGTCCAGCTACATTTGCTTTGTCGTTTGTATAATCGCTAAACATTATAACACCACATTTTAAAAATTAAAAAATTAAAAAAAATTAATGTCGTATAATATCAACTCTCACCACAAACCATCATTACTAGATACATCACATTGGCTAAAAAGAAGATAAATTAATTGACTTGTTCCCATACGTGTATATGGATTGGGATATGAGAGTATTGCTGTTACAGCTGTGAGTAATAATACTTCCATGACTGGATATTGTCCGAGAATGGAGGTTTTACGAAAACGACACCATTTAATATTGCATTTGATAAAAACTGTTGCAATCACACCCTAAATTCAATAATTGTATAAAAGTTATTGCAAAATTAAATATAAATATAAACTTAATTACTCCAATAATTCCCAATCCAATAAATGGTATAAGTTCAAAAAACATCCATGGCCTGTGATATTCCACATAGAACATTACAGAATGTTCGTTGCCAAATGGATTGATTGAACTAAGCACAAATGCAGCAACGAGAGCACAAAAGAATGAACGCCATAAAGTTTTCAATGGAAAATAATAGCTAACCTTAAAAAAAATATATATTTAAAAAAGTTATTTTTAAATATTTTGTGACGTCAGTTGTTGTATGGGACACAATCATTGTATCACAATATTGTTTATTGTTCTTAACCATTCATAATATTTTTAATTTGTTTTTCATTAATATTATCACAGTCAATTTATATCATATTTACTGTTAAAAAAGTATTATCATTTATCATTAATATTTATACTAATGGAAAACAAATTTTAGGAAAGCATCAAAAAATCATGTGTTAAAAACTTTAAAGCCACTGCTTAACAAATTATTGTACTAGTTATAAATTTGCTATACTATACTATACACTATGTTACTATATTATGTTTATTGTTACTGTGTTATAAACATTTATTACATATTAATATATTCATTTTAAATGTAATCATAAAATTTTCGATCAGCGCATATATATAAATAAATAAATATATGTTTAAACTTAACAGATAATAAAATAATTGATTAAGATAAAGAAATATATTTATATTTCTGAATTTTTCCCAAAACATGTTTTTATCTTGGCACTCAGTTATACAGTTAATCTCCCTAGTAACATATCTTTCCTAGTCGGCTTTAGTGCAAGTATAGTGGGATATAAGTCCTAACTCAAAGATAACAATAAATAATGTTTGTCATCTAATATCTTACTTATCTACAAGAGATACAAGAAAACTGGGCAACCATTATAGTATCTGTATTGTAAAATATAATACTATGTTCCTTGAGCAATAAACAAAGGGTTAATTCAGTTTTAATTTGAAAATTTAAATTGAATACCTCTTCTAAACTAAAAAGGACTCCACCAATTGGAGCCCCAAAAGCAACAGAAACCCCAGCGGCTGCTGCTGCTGATAATATTTCTCTCTTTTTAGCTTCATTCCGGCCATACTTAGGAAACAAATATGATAAAATATTACCTAAAACAGTAACCATAAAATAATATATTTTAAAATTTGTATTGATTATAAAAATTATACTTACCAATACATGAAGCTATATGTACCATAGGTCCTTCTTTACCCAAGCTGAGACCAGCCGAAACACACATCATTATTCCAACAGATTTTATCAGTAGAGTCCACTTTCCTAGGTATCCTCTAATTATAAAGCCACTTAAAATTGTTTTTATCTGTAAAACCACATGTAAATTTCATAAATATGTTCTAACCAGTATTGGGTAAAAACTTATGAATAGTCAAAAATTCAAATTTATAAATGTTACATTTATAATTTAATATTAATGCATTTCAATAATTAATATAGTCTGTACATTATAAACTTTAATCATTGGTTAATCATATAATTGTTTTGTCAAACATTGGTTCTAATTAACAAATTAAGTGACATGTGGCCGATTATGCATCATTTGTACGCCAAGTATATTTTTCAGTGTCATTCCAAATTTGTATATTATACTATTTATTTGAAAAAAGTTAAAAAATTTTTAAAGCCCCGGCACTTTTTTGGTACATTATTGTAAAAGTTAATAATATATAACCATATTCATTTACTGCCACCGGCGGTCATGTGGCATGGTAGTAATGGTCAATTGTGGCCGCCGACAGTCACAAAAGCAAACAATTTGAGATTTACAAATGACAATTTGTGTCTAATGTAATGCCGCACCGCATGGCATTTAACGTGTTAATATATACTTTTATATCTATTCCCAAATTATGAGTAGGGAGATAATATTAAAGTTATCCTAGGGGTAGGTATATTAAAAAAAAATAAGAAAAGTACATTACCTCTGGGACACCTGATCCACATGCATAGGGGGCAAACATTCTAACTAAACCAGCAGCAAGGGCTGCAAATAGTAATGCCCAAGCAATGTAAAATAAATATGATACAATGTAGGCAAAAGGTCCATAGTTTGAAGAAGTCATTATTTCGGACCAATAAAACCACTGAAATAAAAATAATTCTTATTAATATTTTAACATTTTTTAATACTATTTCGTATTAGAAAATAAAGTATACTGGATTTATAAATTAGGTTATAAGTAGGGTTTGGAATTGAAGACAATATACTTGATAAAAAAATAATTAAAACTATGAAAAAAGCCCAAAAAAAGCATTTATTTTTACATAAGAGCAACTAAAAAATGTACTAAAAATTAAATAGACTTCAGTTGATTTAACTAGTTTGTATTAAAAAAAAAAGTTCACTACCATATAGAAGAACAATAAATTAACTTGCCATAAAAAATACTTTATTGGTGTTGCCTATAATAAATCCCATTAAAACTAATTTTAAATATAACATTGACAATTTATCGTTTTCGCAAACTCTTATCGATTTGTTCCATTGATATGTATAGAAAACTATCAGTTGATATTTAAACACATACAAATTAAAAAAGAGAAAAAATGCATTTATAGGTAAAAAGGCAAAAAAAGAATAGAAAATGTTCACTCATTATCTAAGAAATTAAATGAAACACATTTTAATTCAATAATTATTTTTCTATTGTTATCAAAAAAAAAGGGAATTTGCTTTCAAATCCAAACCTTAGTTATAAAATAATTATGTATAATTTTATTATCAATTAAATACAATTGAAATATTTACTTGTGAACAGTTTCCTTTATCTAGCTCGAATGAAGTTTCATTTGACGACCAACAACATTGTTCCATGTTTAACCAAAATGCTTGAGGACAAATACCGAATTTTAGATCTGACATCCACGATGTTCCAATGTCAATTATTGCTGCAACAGTTCCAGTCACAAGTCCCACCAATAGTACACAAAGCCAGCCAGACCATGCATCGTGAGCTGATTTAATCTGATTACATTTCAAAACATTTAATTATACTTAGTTTACAAGTAAATTAAAATATTATCGTACTAGATCAATAAATGAATTTTTTTTGCGTCTTAGTATATATCTATGTCTCATCCGATCTCTTGCAATGTCTCGCTGCCAATCAATTGTATGAAAATCTTCATACTGACCAATTCCAGGAATATCCTCAGTTTCGCCAGAACCTATAAATATTTGTTTGATAACAATTAAAATAACAAAATAAAAACAGAAAATAATACATATTGTAAACTTTATCACAATTAGGAAGGAGGTCTTGTATAAAGTGAATTTAAGAGCACATTGTTATAACTGTTGTATATTGAACAAAATGTGATTTCTTAATTTTATGATATAAAAACAATAGAAATAACCATAAAAATGAACACTTTTACTAAATCAATTTTTCTAATTGAAAAAGCAATCTACCTTACCTCCTAGAGAAGTTGTCTTAAGATACTCTGAATATAACTTAAGTATTGTTCTACATTTTGAATAACTACACATTTTTTACTTAATATATTAAAGTAATATGATAATTTTATTATCTAATAATAATCATAAATTCTATTTTATTACAGTTATTAGTTACGTGTAAAAGTTGAGCAATTGCTTGTGCAATGACTAATTCATAAAGCATGGTAAAATTTAAAAATAACATAATCTATGCATTTGCGTTACTCACTTACTTGTGAATTAGGTATGATAATGCAAATTTGTTAAATTAGAATATTTGAATAATCAATGTTATTTTTGTAATAAAACCTAATTAGCATTATCAAGTTATTATTATATAACAAAAATTTCTATTAAATGTACCTACCTATTGGCTATTGCATCAAATATTTAACTCAACTTTACTCCCAAACAATGATAAAATAAAACTAATTAACTAATTAATAATTAATTTGGAAATTTAAATTTGTTAAATCAAAATTTCAAAACTAAAAAAGTAAAAACATAATTTTCTATTAATTAAGTTTTAACCAAAATAAGTTAGGAGTTCAATAAGACTTGTAAGCATTAATCTGTTTTTATCTGGTGTTAATTCATAATATAATTATGAAAATGTAATAAAAATGAAATAGTTTTGACCCAAGGCAACTAACTAGTTATTTAAATATAAAAAATATAGCACTACCAATGCAATGAATATTTAATTATGTTAAATATTCATGGATTATATTTATTTATTTATAAATTTATTGTTTTTACTATACAAATAATTATGTTCCACCCTAGAAAAAAAGAAATAATTAAATGATTATCATTAGTTACTTATTTAGTATTACAAGTTACAACAAATGGTTATGATCATTAATCATACACAGACTATAATTCTTAAATAGCCTACAAGTTATAAACAAGTAAATATTGTATAACTTACTATATTGTTTTTGTTTATAACAATACAATTTTAAGCTCTAATATTGAACTTATGTTCTAAGCTTAATATATACAAAACAAAAATCTAAAAGTGTAATCACTGAAACCAGAAAGTTCTAATAGTTCTAAAAGCCAACAAACTATAAGTTCAATAAAAAAAAATAATGTAATAATACTCATAACTCATAAGCCATAACACATAAGACACAACTCACCAAAATTTATTGTTCCCGCAAAAATGACATCAATACCTTCAATTGTTATAATATTTTAACATAAAACAAAAACATATATATTTAAAACTATGTTCATAAGTCTTATTATTAATTACAGTAAGCACATTTATGTCAATAAAAAATATTATGTTTGAATCAAAATACAAATTTTTTATATGAAATAATTGCTAAGCTAAAGATATAATTATTTAGATATGTATATTGACTTTCAAATTTTATTTAAGTATGACTTTTTCATTAAAAACTAAATATTCTTCATTATTATTTATGTATAAATATAAATTTATCATTGTTTAAAACTAAGAACACTATTTTAATTAAATACTTCTATAATTAAACCGACCTTATATTTTAAATCAATAAATTCAAAACTTTAGATAACAAAATATCAAGTACCTAAGTAAAATATTTTGATTTTTTTTTCTTTGCTTACCTACATTAATTGAATTTTAAAATAATAATAAAATGTTATATTAAATGATCATATTATTATTGTATTTAAGAAAAAACTAGCTTTTAGCTATTAGCAAATTGTATACAAAATATTACATTTTTATGAGAAGGTTAGATTAACTAAATGCAAATAATATAATATGTAATATGATACTAGTTAAATAAACATTAAAAGGAAGCTTAGTAGTTGTAATAACAAAGTATTCACCAATATAATACTTAATAAAAATACTTTCACTATTCACAAAAATATAAAATTAATTATGATATAATTAATTAAAAAAACCTCTTTTACCTATATTTATATTTGAATAATTTGTAGTCTATATAATATATAATTAAATAAACATGTTTTATACACTGTATAAAACTATTAAGTAATTAAGTGAATAATAAATTATAAAAGTTATTTCTACATACAAAGTTAAAGATCATTAAGTGCTATTTTAGTTACAGTACTATTGGGTAAAATCTTTAATCAATTAATGTTATGCCTTTTTTTCCACTAAGTACAATGCACATATAATATATTGGATGTAGAAGAAAGATTAAAGATTAAATTCATACTACCTAATACCAGTTTATTATTTTTTTCATTTATGACCAGTGTTCTTCTTATGTATAGGTAATAATAGCTAGGTACTTATAAAATAATGTTTTTATAAAATATTGTGGACCAATAAAATTAAAGAGTTCACTGAAAGCTTTTCTTCAGTATGATCAAGAACGCTAAATATACAGCATTTAAAGAACTTATTTAATATGATAAAGAAATATCTCATTTAGTGATGTCATTGTTTTAAATCAGTAGCATTTCCTGTATTGTTGTATAAACAGTGATGATCAAATGATTTTTTCATGAGAGGGTCCAGGGTGTGGTTGATTTTTAATATGCACTATTTGATTATAAAAATATAATTTATAATTTATATTATTATAAAATATAAATATTGAAAATAGGTAATGAGGGGATCTATTTCTATTATCATTGTCACCGCTTTGTATAGATACATGATACAATGACTAATTAGTAATTCATATTCAGTGCTTGAATTGGAAAAAAAATAGAAGGCCAATGCAAAAATATAAAAAGTTGAGTACCTGAACATTTTTTATGAATTAGGATATAATTGTTTAGGGATACGCTAAAATATTTTTATAAAAGAAAGGGTACTTAATCACCCATGTCACCTCCAATTCAAGCACTGACTATATTAAATATAATTATATTACCTGGTAAATTTATAGGTGATCTCTGATTTAAAGTACGTTCAGTCATTGTTCCTGATGTTGTAATGTCTATCATATCATCGTCCGAACTTATTCCCACATTTCTTTCAGTTAACTTTTTGACCTATGATTGTAAAAATATATAGAAAGTTGTGTTATGTGTCAATTTTAAATGTTATTCAATAGTAAGTGCACAGAATAAAAACAAATAATTATAAATGTACATAATTATGTAGACACTTACTCTCATATTATAAAATTTTGAAAATGTGATATTGAATAGACATCAACTAACTACACGCTACAAACCACCATCTAAAAATTGCTCAACGTATAGATACGCATAATACCTAATCTAATAGTATTATTATTGTCATTTGCTATTTATTATTATTCAACCAATAATTCAGTTATAAACATAAAACAACATATTATATTAACATTAGAAGTATAATAAATATAATCATTTTTATAAAATATAAATAGGAACTTTCAAGTATATTACTACTAAAAAATAATAATACAATTATAATTACTGGACTATAGAATACTTAAAATAGCAAATAATAATACTATTAGATTGTTAATAAATACAAAAACAATACAATTACAAAATTAAAATTAAAAAGTAATTCAGCTAAAATCAAGTACATATGTTAATACATAATAGGTTTCATAACTGCACAAAGTATATTATAATAAAAGTTAAAAGTTATGTTAATTTTCATTTACTTGTTTTTATTTCAAATTAATCTTCAATAGGTAGGTACACATTAAGAAAAGTAAAAGAATATACTCGTTTTTATTTTAATATCAAATTGTTATAAAAGTTAATTATAAAATGGAACAAAATAAAATATGTAATATTAAAAAGGCTTTTCCCGGCTAGTGACTTCATTGTTGAAGCCGTAGTATATATATTAAAAAAAAAATACCTACTGAAAAGAGTTAAAAATAAGTTTTATAAATTCTATTATAACTACTAATTTTAGTTAAGACAATTTTAAATATATTAAATTATTTTAAAACATGATGAATATATAATATATATTAATATAATAATATGGAATACCAATTGAAGAAGTAAGTAGGTAGATAGTTTATTGATTGAAAATGAAAATATGAAATTCATATTTAAATTAACAATCTAAACTATTATTTAGAGATTTAGTTTGTTATCAGTAACGCCCCCTCAAATTATTAGATAGGAGAATATAAAGATAAATAGTTTATAAATATATGAATGTAACAAAAAAGTATGAATTATGTTTAATTTATGATCAAGATACCTAGTAAGCAAAGTAAATTAACAATAAATTCAAGTGATTCACTCCAAACTAATAGTTGAAAAATAAATTATTTATAAGCTGAAGGTACTAAAAAATATTATCAACAAAGTTATTTTCAAACTGACATTCACATTCAACTACAAAAGAAGCAATTTTTACTCAATTTGTAATTAATACCTGTTTAACAGCCTGATAGGATGTAGAAGGCTTATTAGGGAGATCATTTTTTCGAACATTGCTTGTTAATGGTAAATTTTCCATACTTGTGGAGAAACATATTTCTGAATTTTAAAAACAATATAATAATTAGTTTTAAAAATAAACTACACACACGTAATCTATATATTTTATTTCAATAACAGTCATAATAAAATGTTTACAAATATGATTAAAGTTTTAATTTATTATTTAGTAGGTACCCTAATACAAATCTTCAATGGTTAATAGGTAAATTTAAATAGCACATATGTATATATGTATACAGTTTTAACTTATTAGTACATACCCAAAACAACTTTAGAAAATTTAATCATTCTTATGTTTTTAAAAAAAAAAATAGTAAAAAAAAGAACTAATAAATAGTGTTAATATACACTATGTCTATTGACTATTAAGATGACAAGGGCCATAATATTAATATATCATCTTCTAATTTCATATTTTGCAAGTAGTCCACTCATTCATAACTAATTAGATTAGTGTTACTTAAGTAGTATTAAGTTTCATTATATTTAGTCATTATATGACTATTTTTATTTTGAAGATATACAGTATGTTGCAATAAATCAAATAATACCGCAATAAACAAACATATGGGACACTAAATCATTTTATATGGTCTTTAGCAACTGAAATCTTGTCAATAGTCTATCCACCTATTATATATATGTACATGTTTGTGTTTTATTAGATAATATATTATTTATTTAGAAATATAGAAGGTCAATAAAAGATTAAAAAATTATGATACCAAATGTATAAGAACAAGAAAAATATTTAATAATTATAGATAGGTTCTTAAAAAATTAGTTAATAAAAAGTGATAAAATTAGAGAAAAGTTTCTAAAAGACATTAATAATTAATATTTTTAAGAAATACTAAAAAAGAAAAAATGTAAATTGATGTAAATAATAATACCTAAAACAATTATGGAATAGTACACGCCCGTCAATGGTTTCTTTGCCAATGCGTATTTTTAAATAGTAAATAATAATGAAAAGAATAAATTGCATTGATTATGGTACAATTAGTATTTACAGATATCTATTTGCCATTTAACTAGTTCCTTCCTGAATACTAATTTTAGAGAAATGAAGATGCAATAACAATTAAATGGAAACATATTATTTTATTAGTATTTAAGATTGTTGATGTGAAAGATAAAATAAAATAAATTTTTTTTATTGCTTTTAACTTTCTGTTATTTATTAATTTAGTAGTACAGTGTGTTTTTTAACATAATTAATTTATGGACATAGAAGCAGCTATGATTTTAATTTAAAAAGGTAAGTGAAAACAATTATGACTGATTGAATAATGCATTAAATGTTTTGAAATAAGAAACTTCAAACAAATTGTTTGTTATATATTAAGTACATAAATATACAGTCAAACTTGGTTAGCTTGAAATTGTTGATACCTCAACATTTTTCTCGATGAATAGAATTTCCTATTATTGTATTGTAAAGCGATAACTAACAAATTAGCTAAATCTGGCTAATTATATTTATATAAATTACTTTTTTAACTTTAAAAAATATACCGATAAATAGGACAATCATGATGTTTTTAAAATAAATGACAATTTAATTAACTAAGTAAGTATGGAAGAAGATGTGACTTGTTGTTGAGTTTCTCGATATAGGTAAGTACCCACCACTATAATTATCAATTTATTGATAAAAATAACAATGTCCCATTTAAACCATAAATAACCTTTAATGACAGATAGAATCATCAAGAAACTCTTGCAGTAAAGGCTATTAATAAAAAAAAATCCCTAGTATTTGGAAATTTAGAAATATATTAGGTATGTAGGTAGGTAATCAAAAGTTATGAGCTTAAATATAAGTTATCAACAACGTCCGATTGTATTTTTTACAACTTTGAACTTTTGGACAAACAAGAACATCATCCTATTTTATTCAACACATATGGAAATCTACAGTAAAAGAAAATATACACGAGAAGTTGATTTTACTGAGTTATATAGGCATTTTAAGACGCTACACCAAACAGGTATTTGATAAAAAAAAATCAGAAAATCAATGAATGAATTATGACTATCTTAGTTGAGAAACAGATTGGTTAGGTAAAGAAGAAATTAACATCATGAAAATTAAATAAAATTGACACAATTTTAATTTGAAATCAAGCCTTGTTATTCAAATAGGCGAATTCAACTTACATTTTATTTTTGAGAACCACCAAGACATTTCTGCCTCTTGACGTGATGATCAAACGAATAGTAGGTGGATAAATATGGGTATTATATTATTATAATAAAGTAGAGTTAGGTATATTATTTTTGTAGACGGAATATTAAATAATTAAAACATAATATTTTAAAAGTGCAACATATTTTAATATTATTATTTAATATTTATTGATAAGATGATAAGAAAATGAATTCGTGTCCGAAGATTCAAAGGCGTGTAATAAGTGTTGGGTTAAGAGGCGTATTGTCATTTGGCGAATGTTAAATAACGCGAAATCGTAAAAAATACCTATGTGGATGATATTTTGCAATTTCGTAATCAAAAAAATAATGATAACAGATGGATAGATTTCGTTTTGGCCACGGACTAAGATATAATCTTAAGATATATCTTAGTCCGTGGTTTTGGCGTAATCATGAATTTTCGAAAATAAAAAGAGTGGGGCGATAATTTATTGATGAACGAGTGGATGGGATTTTTAGGTTTCGACGTTGGTGCAGGTGGAAGATGGTTTATCTTTTATCTATAACAATAGCGGCAAATACGAACACATATTATAATATGATATATTATTATACCGATTTAGAAGGATTTATAGCGACTCTTGCAGATTTGCAGTCAAACGATCCACAACCAATGGCGCCCCCTTCCCCAAGCTGCATTTCTAAACAATTTTATACTGTTAAAAACAAAATATCAAAAAAAAAAAAATCATCGAAATTTTCTGAAAATTATGAATTTGCATTCCCAAAAATGTAGAACATAAAATTTCAAAATTTGTATTTTTTTCTTATATTTATACAGGTTATAGGTATGTTATGGACGGCCATGTTATAGTTATAAAATATAAATTGTAGCTGTGAATATAGTATAGTAATAACTATAATAAATAGGTAATGTATAATATTATTAATACTGAATCTAAATTATTATGACATTGTTTTATTATTGCTATCCGATGATGGTTTGTACTATATTTAGCCATTTATAGGTAGGTACTTCATAAACCAAATTTGAACTTCACCTACCAATAATATTATAACTTCAGAACAGAAATAAAAAATGCTGTAGCAACTGTATACACTATACCTATACATTTTTTTATAACTTTATAAGCTTAAAATGTAATTTTCTTTCAGATATAAATTTGATGGCTTGTAATTACTAATTTGCACCAAAATAAGGGTATGTATTTGCATTATCGTAGGTAAGTATAGTAAAAAATAGTGTGCAATTCGCACCAAATTGATTGACCTAACCTATCTATGTATTCGGTTAATCGTTGACTGGTTGACTACTGTCTATTTGACTGACAATAATTATTGTTTATATTATTAAGACTTTATTTGTACCACAAAAATACATAGGTAGTTAAATTTATTATAGATATAATAATAATATAATAGTAAGGTATAACAATCTATGTAAGCTCAGCCTGTGTTGGCAGTGTAATAAGTTTTAAACAGAATCGTGATTTATATAATTTAGAATCTAATGATTTTATTAATAAAAGCTAAGCTAAAGTAATTGTGTTTATAAGATTGTAGATTATTAGATCAACTTATAAATTGTATATAATTATACAAATAATGTAATGTAATTGTATTATTATAATATAATTGGAACAATTGCAGTTTAGCTACCATGGGATATTTCCAAACCTAGGTAAATCGACGTTCTAAAAATGATGGTGCCAAAAAAAAATTTGCGCAAACACTTATAACGGTTTATAACGAGTTATAACGGTTTTCCCCTTAACACGCATGCGCCAACACGAATTTAAATTTTTTTGTTTTCGGAACTTATGTAAATTTACAAGTAGTTGCGCCCTACCGGCTCGGGTTATATTTTTCAGATATACTCTCGATATTACCACGCGTAATGCTAAGGGTTCTGCACCGTAGCATATTTTAAGGAGTACTATTTAGGCAATTCATTTGACATAAATTAATACTGTATCTATGTGTGAGTAGTAAATGGATCTAATGTTTCGGTTGCGCTTGAAATCACCGTAATCGGCAGTATGCGATCTGCATTATTTGTGAAACATGTCATCTTTTAATATCTTAAATATTTTTGAACTTTTCTCGTGCAAAACAAACGGGCCCGTTAGTATTGAAGTACTTCAAAAACTTCAAGAGTGGAATTTAATTTGCAAAAATGATACACTCAAGTGTAACGAAGGGCATTTTCTCCGTTTGTGTCCCATGAATAGTGCTATTGGTGGATTTTTATGGCGATGCAAAAAAACAAAAGGTCTTCGAGATACGAATTTTTCCAATCAATCCGCAAATACACTTTTTTTTTTTTTAAATCTCATCTGTCCCTGTTTCAAATTGTGTCTTTTTCTTATTCGTGGCTTAAAAATGTTTCTGTGTTTTATAACGGAGAAAATATCTATTTCGGAAAAATCTGCAGTCAATTTGGCGGTTTTTTACAGAAAAGTCGTTTTTGACTGTAGGTTATATAGCTGTAGGCTATTATACGTCATGAGAAGATTAGTGAGTTTGTAAAATGAAAATGTGAATGAAAATTATGTGATATAATATTGTATAATTTGTGGATTTGTATTTAAATATCAGAGTTAATAAAATAAAGAAACAGTTTTAATCTTTTAAAGTAAATATAAAAATAATAATTATAAATAGTAATTATTATAACAAAACATAGTACATAATATTATATCTAATTTATTTACTATTTTTTTTTTGAAAAATTATCACATTGAATAATATGCCGCTTTTCATTATAACTATATTATTTATTATGAATTTTTTCTATCATTTTATACTATTTTTTTGATGAAAAATTATAACATTGAATGTCACATAATTATAATATTTACTATTTTATTGACTATTGTATTTATATTATTTTGTTAGTCATTATTATTTATCACGAAATACAATATTATTTATATATTCCAAGCATATAATTTTTTTACTATCATTTTATACTATTTTAAATAATTTTATTTATTATTTGTATACTTACCTCCAATATTTTACGGGCTATATATTGTAATCGTGTACATAGTATATATTAACATGTAAGGGCAACTGGTACATTCGGTTGGGGGCAACTGGTACATTTAGTTGAGGGCAACCGGTATATTTTTAAAATCCCGATAACAGCCGTTGGGGGAAACTGGTCAACACCCTTTGGTACGTCTGGTACCACGGATCCGGGGTTTAGTAAGTTCCCATACGAAAAAAAATACACCCGTGCGTAAGTTCCCACACGACAATTTATTCAAACTAAGAACTGACAACTTAAACGTAGTTGGTCCTAATATAAAATAAAAATGAATAATATAATGTGTAGGTATAGTCCACATATTATTTGTACTTTCGCAAGCGTTTGTAGTAAGACTTGTATCAGAACTATACCACTAGCCCAAATACTAGGGGGGAACTATATCAATAACAAAATATCAGATTATAACTTAAAATTAATACACAGTAGGTACCTTTTTTTTTTTTTTTTAACAGGAAAAAAACAGGAACGGGTGGGAACTGTTTAGCACAATACTGCCACCCGGGCCCGTATCGTTTATTCACCGTTACAAATTACAATAACAATATACAACTTTAATATAATACATACGTGGGGGCCTCTAACCACCTTAGGTATTTGGCCTTCGGCCCACAAACTCAGTCACCATTAAAATAATTGCGCCTGCCTAACCCGCTCTGCATCCTCCTTCCGCCCGAGAATCGCCTCCAACATTCTGCCAATAGTCAATACACAGTTGGTACCTACCAACTGGTATTTGGTACATATTACATACAGTGGCTTATATAGGAATTAATTTCTGGGTGGGGGTGAATATAGGGTGAACCCCTCCTATATACCCCACTGCATATACATATACACATGAAAGGTTAGTGTTTGTATTAAAGTGATAAAAGATTATTAAATATTAAGTGTAATGATTTTTCGAGCTGAGAAAATATTTTAAAGAAGTTAAATATAGGTGCGTATACCCACAAATTTATTTACCAATACACCACTGTAACGTATGACTACGTGAAGGTTTTTGAGCTTTCGCAATAAGCCAAATAAAATTTAATATTTTCTATTACTATTATTATAATTATTATAACTATTATTATTTCATACCTATACAAATAATATGTAGACCATACCTACACATTATATTATTAATTTTTATTATATTATATTTGGACTAGATTCAATTAAAAAAAGGTGGGCAAGTGGGTGTAGCTCTGCTGCACAGTAGGTTACAAGTGGGTCACTGTATAATGGATGAAATTAAATTTGAATTCAACGATATAATATCATTGTATAAGAAAAACGATTCTGAGCGGAGACGGTATGTCAGTCTATGTATAAGACATATTATATACATATCTATGGTATTAAACAAAAAACTGACCTATAATGGGTACTTATAATAAATTCCAAATTAATCATATCACAATGTCCATTAGGTAATTATAACGCGTTATACATCAACAAAAACCGTGATACTATCATAGATATATAATAGTACACTTTAGAAGTTTCAAGTACCCACGAATAATATTATTCAATCACAACAAAATAACTAAAATAGTTATTCTAGGTTTTTTAATATGTAATTTCGTCCAAATTTGAATTTAAAATGTCTGTAAAAAATAACTGTGTTCATATATTTTTTAGATTTTTTGGTTACAGTATGAACTATTTATGAGAACCTTTGTTTTAAATTTGCAATCCTTAGCTATAAAAACTGAACATTTTATAATTTATTAATTTCAATGATTGATAATTTTCGAGATTTTGACAAATTTTGTCAAAATTTGATCTTTAAATGCTTATAAAAAAAACTGTGCCTATGTATTTTTAATATTTTTCAACTCCTATTGTAATAATATATCAGGAGCCTTGTATTAAATTTTTACACTTTTTGGCCCAACAGATAAAACTTTATTGATATTTATAGAAAAAAAAAATAAAAAAAATTGAAAGCTGTAAAGGTCCATAAACAGCTCAAAAAGAGTCAAAATATTTTCAAAATTGTATGGTGTATAGGAAATGCTAATATAAACATTCAGTGAAATTTTCATGTATCTACAGTTATTTGTTTTTGAATTACAACAAAATAAGGAAATCGCTACATGGGAAATCGAGTGAATATTCAATGTTGTAAAAATTTGAATTTCAAACGCTCATAAAAATTTAATTTGACTTTCTTATAGACTTTTTTCTTTTGATAAAGGTAGATAATCTTATAAGGAATCTTGTGTTTAATTTTCAAATCTTAGATTTAAAAAGAAAAATTTCTACGAATTCTTAACTCAAAATAATTTGCTAATTTTCGTGATTTTCCCATATTTTGTCAATTTTTGAACTTTAAATGCTTATAAAAAAAAATTGTGACTAAGGATTTTTAATATTTTTCATCTGCCTTTGAAACAATATATTAGGAGCCTTCTATTAAATTTTCAAGCTTTCGCAACCAACAAATAAAATTTTATTGATATTTTTAGAAAAAAAACTAAAAAAAAATGGAAAATGAAAATGTCCCTAAACAGTTCAAAATAAATCAAAATATTTTGAAAATGTTATCGTGTATAGAAAATGCAAATATAAACAACCAGTGAAAATTTCATGTGTATACGTTCATTTGTTTCAGAGTTACACCAAAAACCAAAATCGATTTTTTGGAAAACCAATTTTGCGTAAAAATTCCCGTTTTTCCTTAATTTTTATGTTGTTTTTCCCGGCGCTTGTGAAAACTACTGGGAAATTTATACTTTTGACCCCCCAAAGTACCAACTAGATTCACTTTCCTATCAGAAAAGCTACTGATGAAGAAAATCAAAGCACTTTTACTGTCCTAAAACGTGATGACAGACACAAAAATAAAAAAAAAAATTAAAAAAATATAAAAAAAATTAAAAATTAAAAAAAAAACACACATCATTGTAAAATCAATACATTCATCGTTTCACTCAGAATCTAAAATGTATTGGACTTTTTTATGCAACACAAAAACAAAAAATTTTAACCACACCAACTGCATTTAAGTTGTCAGTCCTAAGTCTGAATAAAGTGGGAGGGAAGTTTGTATTCGGTGTAATTTTTTTTCTTGTGGGAACTTATGTATACATATACCCGGGTGTAATTTTTACCTGCTATATCTCGTGTGGGAACTTACATTCGCCCACGGATCCACGGAACGAAAAATGATAATCATAAAACTGCAGTTCTTATCTCTGTCTCTCTCGCACTCCGCATACAACCTACGCGTGCGAGTGAGAGGACCGAGCGAAAATACGAACATTTATGTAGTCTTACGTAATAGTCTCGCTATCGTCATTTGGGTGTTGTTTTTTCTCGGTGTTTCTTACGCACAGAAAGGAGTCTCTAGTGAGACTCTTCGACATATTGTATATTACGTGTTTGATTTGTAAATTTAACACTTAGTATATTATATTAGGAGATATTTTTCTCCCGAGTTCTATGTATGATAATGATGTGATTCGAACAACAACTTGTTATCTATGATTTGGGACGTATCTATTATCGATATAGCTATTAAAAAAAACACTAATTTCGTACATAGTCGATGGCTAACCGAATGTTACTTTGAGTTAATGAGCACTTATTCATTATACTTATAAGTTATATTCTAAATAGGTAATTATGATTATGATTTAATGATAATGATATAGCTACTCAGTACTCTGTATAAAGACGATAGTCACAGAACTTATTTTATTGTACAAAGGACTAAGGAGTGGATAGATAGGTGAATGAATAATTAACAAAGTGAGTTTTGTTCGGTAATTCGGGATAATTAATAAGACAGTCACACTGAATGTAAGAATAACTCAATATACATACATATATTTTTTTTTTATCATTTTTTCATTTTTTTTTATTGTACTATTATCAGTTTAATGAAAAACCGTTGAAAAAGCAATCTGATATATCATATTATTTTTTTTTATTTATCGACGCCTCAGGGGTATTAAGTAATATGCCATATATATCAGTGGTTCCCAATGTGTAGGTTAGGTCCTAATGTGTAAAATTACTTAAATTTACTTATATTTTTTATATTTTATATTAATATTTTTGTTTTTGTATTCAATATTTTTTTCTTATACTTAATATTATTGATTTATAATAAATTTTTAAAATTATGAAAATAATAAAAGTAAATAGTTGTTTTTTTTTTTTTTTGCGAAATTGCCTTAACTCTAATTAAAGGGGGGGGGGTGATATTTTAGTAAGTTTACAAGAGGGGTGTATAATGATAAAGAATGGGAACCACTGATATATATTATATATAAGAACTCATTCACTTTGAAAGGCAAAAATATTGTGGAAACTGGAAGTGCATAATATACTGGCGTGGACAATACCTATGTTTTGAGGCTTCTTTTGAGAGACTAGCTGGCGTTGTGCATCGGATCCTCTTGTGAAAAAGATAGGGAAAAAGTATGGTGCTTAATATATGAAATGATTTTTTTGTAATCCCTTCTTTTGATATGCATCGATTAATACGCAATTTTAAAGTATTGATGAATGATGTATTTATGATTTTAATTTGTGAGGTGTGACAAAGGTACCGCTTGTAATTTATATTGTGTTCTTTTTACTGAATGTCTTGATCGGAAGTCTTTAGGCTATGGATTATTATTTAAGTGTGCAGGCATGTGTCGCGTGTGTATAATTATGTATATTGAATCATCCTACATCCCGTATGGCTTGTCGTTATTAGTTATCCCGGGTTTTTATTTAAGTATTGAAATAGCCAATAGGTACTGTATTATAAAATTACAACATGGAGACTACTCTCGGATGTAGGACATCGTGTTCGCCATACCGCCCATACCTAGTTTCAAATATTCTAGGCTGGACGACATTATCTGTTCGATCCACTTCACCAGTTCTTGGAATGTCGGTCTATTTTCCGGGATAATATCCCAACATCTTAACATAATCATGTAACTGAAATCAAATAGTATATTAAAAAAAAAAGTTAGTATATACTATGAAGTGCACCGTTACATAAAAAAAATTGCATATGTATACACTATAAATACACAGTAATAGATGAATCGGATTTTAACTAATATTGATGTGAATAAAGAATGCCAACTCCTATATTATTCAAACTGTTCAATTCGTTAATTAATATTCGGTGTAATTGACTTAATCAAAACTTAAAATTTTTTATCGACCATTTGAATCTCAAAATACTTGTGTGGGCACCACTTAAGAATGCGAATTTTGGAAAATGCTTACACGGTGGTACGAAGGTACCAATGGTACCATCAAAATTGTAAGCCTCTAGCTATAATTGTTTAGGCTCTACGTTGATCAGTAAATGAGTCAGCCAAGATATGTTCAATTATATTATAATTTATAGCAATCCCGCCCACGAGCCAAGACTGACCAGCTTTTCCGGTGAGATACACTTGTGATTATGCGAGCACGGAGCAGTATATTTTGCCAAAGGTGGGAAAGTTAATGAAAATAATTAACTTGATGAGTTTAAAGTTAAAATAGAAAATAAAATTAACTTGACTCAGTTAAAAAAAGTTGATTTTGTTTCAAGTTTTTTAAGTCCTTGTTTTTTAAGCACTAGTATTTTGTTATACACAAACATTTACCAAGACTTTTAACACTGTGTAAAAAATTAGATTTCTGTAATATAAAAATGAATCGCTGATGTATTGCTAAGCGCAAATCTCGAGAACGGCTGGTCCGATTTGGCTCAAATTTTTTTTAAGATGTCCGTAATTGCCAGGAGAAGGTTTTACGAAATTTCAGGAAAATCCACCGGAAAAGTAGGAAATCTGGATGTAAAAAATACAACAGTGGCGCCACAGTGTATTATATATATTGGTTGCTATTGGTTGATCGGGCAAGTTTGTTATTTTGTATTAATATATATATAAATGAATGTTTGTGTGTAGATTAGACCTCTGGGAAGAAGCCAGGCTAATTTAAAAATGGTAAATTTGGTTTTTTTTTATTCATCGGATTTTAGTACGGTTAGGTTAGGATAGGATTTTGTATAAATTGATTATATTAAATATTAATCCACCGTAGATTGAAATAAGTAAAAACGACAAACTTGGTATAACTTTGATAATTTAGAGTTAAATCATACACTTATACGTACAACCCAGACAGTAATTTTTTGTTTAAAAATATTATTATAATAACGAATAATATTAGTATAATATTATCATTACAAAATGCTGTTTGGGAAACAGCACGGGGTCCGCGATCTACCTGATAATGGACAGTTGCCAATCAGAATTTTTATTCCGGGCAACGGAAAAGTTAAGATAAATTTCGAACACTATACACCAAATATTAAATAACGAATTGAACAAAATTTGAGTCATATAGAGTTGATACATTTAACGATCAACGAAGTGCACGGGATCAGCTAGTTATAAAATATAATTTGAAAATGAATTACCAACATCGAAAAAGTGTCAACGAATCAGTATTGTCTAGTTGATTACGCATGACATGAAAAGAAAATTAACTTAACTGCACTACAATAATAATTAACTAGTTAAGTTAAAAAGTTAAAATAAAAACTTTTAAACTTAACTTTAACTTTTTAACAATTTAGTGCCCACCTTTGTATTTTGCACCCTCGAGGTGTGTATGTTATTACCATTTACCATCATAGACCTTATAAGTTTATGGTAATTACAACTTACAAATGTTTTATTAACAAGTTTAATGCGGCGGTCTGTTGGCCTTTATGATATTACTAAGTATATTAAATGATATAAATGTGAATAAACCTAATACTTAATTAACCTATTTAAGTGAAATCTTAATTTAAATTTTCAATCCTTAGCTATAAAAGTAGAACATTTTATAAATTTTTAACTACAAAATAATTATTAAAAATAAAATTTGAAAATGTTATCAAAATTCGAACTTTAAAGTTTAAATGCTTATAAAAAAAAATTGTGCATACCTACCTATGTATTTTGAATATTTTTTAACTGATAAAGTAACATTATTTCAGGATCCTTAAAGCTTGATGTAAATTTACAAGCTTTTTTAGGTAACAAATAAAATTTTATTGACATTCATAGAAAAAAACTAAAAATATTGGAAATTGAAAATGTCCGTAAACAGTTCAAAACAAGTCAAAATATTTTAACATGTATAGAAAATGCGAATATAAACAACCAATGAAAATTTAACGTATATAAGGTAATTTGTGTTAGAGTTACAACAAAAACCAAAATCCATTTTATCGAAAACTGATTTTGGTAAAAATTCTAGTTTTTCCTTAATTTTTATGTTGTTTTCCCCGGTGTTTTTGAAATCTATTGGGAATTTCAAAAATACATCCATCGCTCCACTCAGTATCTAAAATCTTTGGAGCTTATTTTAATATTTTCACCACAGAACAATTTTGTCGATAAACAACCAATGAAAATATAAATGTATATTATCTTATTCCGTAATACGTAGCCACGTAGGTACCTACTATCTCTATTTTGCTCAGAAATAAAAAAAGTTTGGAAATTTAAATTATAATTACAATTGCTTAGCATGCTTTTAAATTAACCAAATAAAATACAAGGCTTAAATTATTTCAATATTATCATATTAGAGAGCATATTTTTTACCCAAACTTACATTATGGCAGAACAGGCAGGTGGTTGGTCCAATCGCTTTCCTGCCAATAATTGGCTGAGAGGAATATAATCAGGTATCTTTCCATATGTGAACAACTCCCATAGAAGCAATCCAAAAGACCAACTATATTATATTTGTTAAAAAACAAAAAAAAATTATTACATATGTTTTATTTTATCATTCATCAACTATATTACAATATGGCGAAAAGAGTAAGATTTTGTTGATCTTGAGGTACCCGTTTATTATTTAATTTGTGTTTGAGGGGTATCAATATCGACCGTTTCTAAGGAGTTCAATATAGGCAACTTTCTATTTGCGTACATGTGTGCATAGTAAGTGATCATTAGTGTGAGTGACTGTGTTTCAATGTATAAAATAAATAGCAGAGCGCTCCAGGAATGTTCAGGTGGTAATGCAGGAATGTGTGGGGGAAATGAGGCAAGTGCGAATCTAGTGATACCTATATTCATCGTAAAAACTAATGATGACTCACACGGATATATAGAATAAACTGTGGTAAGATGCGAAGTTACCATCCACCATTTAAAAAGAGGCCGAAGCGGGAGCGAATCACACCTATTTAATGTTGATAGTAAATAAATGTATAAAAATAATAATTTTTAAATACAAATCGTTTCATGTTAACGAGTCATAACGAAAATTGGCTTGGTTTAAAAGGTGGCCAATAGCTTAAGCCAATTACCACGGACTAAGATAGAATGGACTGGAAACGATATGATGGACGGATGGGGAGCAGGACGGCAATTGCCTAGGTACGACTACCCTTCCTAATACAGTGCGTTATACGGTATACGTACTACGTGTACAGTCATAGATATAGTCCAAGTTGTAGTGGCGTTGTGCGTTACATTTTTATTATACTTATACCTAATCATAAAGTGGTGTTACTTATTTATATTAATACCAAAGTCATTGGTCCATAATAGCTTCAATTTCAACAATACAGATTACCCAACGCCGTATATAGAAACCGGTCCCCAGAGTGATGCTCACAGTTTATCCCCAAAAATCAGCTGTTCACTATAGGGAGAAGTACATCTAGCGCTCTCATTGTACATAAACATAATTATATATAAATATCGAAATAAAAAATATATATATCATGAAAATAAAGATTGTTTAATTACACTGATTTTCGCTTGGGCAGTATAGCTGCACTTCTCGTAGGCCGTTACCGAGGATAAACATTGGACATCAAAAAGAATGCTCCTTATTTGAGTAACCTATATAATATCACGCCCCTCCCCCCAAGCCCACAATTAAATTTACCTGAAGTTTCCCCTGTTATCAATGGTAATTTATACTTACACGTCGGTTTTGAATGTGAATATACCGCCTTTAACTGATTCAGGCGCCAACCCAAGTGGATTTAAACTAAACCGATTTTCTTTATAGTAACCATACTTTCCAATATCCCTTGCTAGGCCAAAGTCCGCAATTTTAATAATAAACTTATTATTTTCTTCGTATACTAAAATGTTCCTCCCTGCCAAGTCTCTATGGATAAGCTACACAGAAGATAACACAACATAATAGCCACTAGATAATATACAAATATAAAATATCATAAAACAAATCTGAGTAAAAATAATATAAATATAAAATATAAAAAGGCATGTGATGTATACATTAAAACGTAAAAATCAAATAGAATTCCACATTGATCATAAATTCAAAAAGTCACTCTGCTGTACAGTAGGTTACAAGTGGGTCACTGTAATGTGTAATGGATGGTGTAAATTTGAATTCAATGATATAATATTATCATTGTATAAGAAAAACGATTCTGAGCGAAAACGGTCAGTCAGCCTATGATATTACGAAGTATTTTGATGATATTAAGGTGAATAAAGTAATTTATATATAACCTATTCACGTGGAATCTTGCTTTAAATTTTCAATCCTTAGCTATAAAAGTTGAACATTTTATAAATGTTTAACTACAAAATTATTATTAAATTTTAAACGTGATACATTTTGTCAAAATTCGAACTTTAAATGCTTATAAAAAAAATTTGTGCCTATGTATTTTTAATATTTTTCAACTGCTATTGTAACAATATATCAGGAGCCTTGCATTACATTTTCACGTTTTTTTACAAAACAAATAAAATTTTATTGATATTTATAGAAATGAAAAACTAAAAATATTTAAAACTGACAATGTCCGTAAACAGCTCAAAAAGAGTCAAATTATTTTCAAAATTGTATGGTGTATAGAAAATGCCAGTATAAACATTCAGTTAAATTTTCAAGTATCTATAGTCATTCGTTTTATAATTACAATAAAATAAGAAAATCGTTATATGAGAAATCGAGTGAATATCAAATGTTGTAAAAATATGAATTTCAAATGCTCATAAAAATGTAATTTGAGTTTCTTCTAGACATTTTTTTTTTGATAAAGGTAGTCAAACTTATGAGGAATTTTGTAATAAATTTTCAAATCTTAGATTTAAAAAGAAAATTTTTTATGAATTTCTAACTCAAAATAATTTGCAAATTTTCGTCATTTTTACGTATTTTGCCAATATTTGAAATTTAAATGCTTATAAAAAAAATTGTAACTACTAATTTTTAATTTTATTCATCTGCCTTACAATATACTAGAATCCTTCTATTAAATTTTCAAGCTTTTTTAACCAACAAATACAGTTTTAGTTTATTTATAAAAAAAAAATAAAAAAAATGGAAACTGAAAATGTCCGTAAACAGCTCAAAATAAATCAAAATATTTGGAAAATGTATGGTGAATAGAAAATGCTAATATAAACCTTCAGTCAAAATTTCATGTACGGTCATTTGTTTTTAAGTTGAACCAAACACCAAAATCGGTTTTTTCAAAAACAGGTTTTGAGTAGGTACCTACAAATTTCCGTTTTTCCTTAATTTTTCTTTTGTTTTTCAGGGCGCTTTTGAAAACTACTGGACATTTTTTACTTTTGACCCGTCTAGGTACCAAATAGATTCACTTTCCTATCAGAAAAGATACTGTTGAAGAAAATCTAAGCATTTTTACTGTCCTAATAGGTGCTGACAGACACAATAAAAAAAAAATTTAAAAATTTAAAAAAACACACACACATCATTGTAAAAATCAATACATTCATAGTTTCACTCAGAATCTAAAAGATTAGTTGTAAAATTAAACATAACCAACATTTACTTCAGACTTCAGTTTATGTGGCAATAAAAAAATTAATACCTATATTTAAATAATTAAATCATATTGCTTGAAAATGTTTAAAATATACATTTTTATCTCAAATATTACATTTTGATAAATTCAGTTGGATAAGTGATAAGTGATAACTATTATATTTTTACTGATAGTTTAAAAATGTGACTCACATTTTTGTCGTGCAAATACTCCATCCCTTGTGCCACTTGATTGGCGTAAGATAGTAAATCCTTAATAGAAGCTCGTGGGTTCATTGAATTCAAAAAATTCAAAATGTTTCCTTTGGAAGCGAATTCTATAATCGCATACGGTGATCCGCCTAGTTCGTAACTTCCCAATATAGTAGTGATATTATTATGATGCCCCATTTTTTTCATGAAATCGATTTCCGACTTTAAATCCAATACATCTTCTTTTTTAAGATGATCTACATCAATTATAATGCAAAATAATATGAGTTGTTTATAATGCTAAAAAAATAAACGTTTTTAATACAAAATACAATTTAAATCACTTTTTAACGTTTTAACCGCAACTTTGGTTTTAACATTTTTGTTTATAATGCCAACTGCAGTTGCCATTTGAACAATACCAAAGCCGCCTGCTCCAAGGACTTCTCCAAACGTTAAATTTTCAATGGGAAATTCCCATTTATTTATTAGCTGCTGCTTCAAAATAATTATGAAAACCGAAAAAACAACACAATTAATAAACAAAATATATTATCAAAAACCAGTTTTTTTAACAAATTAATTTTGTTTTAGATTCTGAACGGAGCGATGAATGCATAACATTGACAATGTGTACCTAGGTATTTGATTTTTTAAATTTTGTTTAAAATGTTGTGTTTTTTATCGTTTAAGGCAGTAAAAAAGTTTCAATTTTCATTTTCAGTACCTATTTTTTCTGGTAGGAAAGTAAATCTATGAAGTAGGTACTTTGGGTGGGTCTAATGTAAATATTCTCAGCCGTTATCAAAATCGCCAAGAAAAAAAGGTGTGACATATAGTTCCGCATACTATGGAGTAAGTGTCGTATACATTTTTAACTACAAATAATTTACACTTTTTGAAATGCTTAAAAAAAAATTGTGAATTTATACATTACCTAATAATATTGTCATTCATAGGAAAAAAAAACAAAAAAACATTTTAAATTGTAGATGCATATACAATAACTTGGTGATTATATTTTAAAAATTGTATTATATAGACAATATTTAAAATAACATTTTGTGAAAATTTCAAGTACCTACCTATGGTTATTCATCTTTGAGTTGCAACAAAATATGCTGGTATCAAAAACATTGAAGCATTTTTACTGCCCCAAAGGTGATACAGAAAAGAAAAAACATATCATATTGTAAAATCAATAGGTGGTATGCATTATTTTCCTCCGCTCAGAATCTAAAAGGTGGACAAGTGGGTGCTGCTCCGTTGTACAGAAGCCAGTAGGTGCCGTGTGGATATATTAAAGATAAATGGATATGTTAAATTTGTATTCAATGATATAAAATCATGGTATACGAACAACGGTTATGGGCAAAGACGGGTCTGTATTATATTATTTTAAAAATATAAAACAACATAATTATTCTCTGTTTAAATATTATCTCATAGGGTGTTACCACTGGGTATCTTCCCTAATCTAACTACTCATATCATATTTTACCTTTCATATATCAAACCTACTTATTGTACAAAAAGCATGTATAGATTGTAGATTTCTTCAAATAAATAAAAAAAAAAAAAAAAAATTATTATTTAATTTTGTGAACATTTGAACTAGAAATGATTACAAAAAAAAAAATATGCGTATGTATAATTAATACTTTTAAACTGCTATTAAAACTACTTATGAGATCCCTTGTATTACATTTTTAAGTTTTTAGACCCAGCGAAAAAATGTTTTTCCATAAAAGTTAAAAAAAAAAAAACAAACAGGTAAGTGGATGTCGCTCAGCTGTACAGTAGGTTACAAGTGGGTCACTGTAATGTATGGTATTAAATTTAAATTCAATGATATAATATCATTGCATATGAAAAACGATTTTGAGCGGAGACAGTTTGTCATCTAGAATATTTTATATTATATTAGCTTATAGCTAATACTAGCTAAATTACCCGGCGTTGCTCGGAAAAAAATAATGATCCGGAGAAAGTTGAGACCCAATCGAAGGTTAGGAATGACCCGGGGATAATTTATCGTAAGTATAAGCCTGGCCTGGATATACCCATTTTGTTTAATAGTCTGGTACTCTGGTCCTGTCAGACTATTAAAAAAAAAATACTTTAACAAAGAATAAATATTTTGGTTATTTTTAATTTAGAAATATTATTTAATTTTTAATTTGAAAATATACTACAGCGGTTTATTTTTTCTTATAAGAAATAAAAAAAAAGTTTACCATAGGGCAGCGATTGCAAATTTTCTAACGTTAAGTGCCGAAAATGACCTGATGCATTATAATTATGAAAAATATTATATATAATATGTAAATAAAAACAATTTTAATTTAAATGTATTTATCGAGAGATTTAATAAAAAAATAACATACTAATCAGTAGCGTATCCAAAATATTTTTTTGGGAGGGGTTGTAATTTATTTTTGTCGAATTTTATCTGAAAATGATTTATTAATGATAACGTTGTTATAATTTAACAATTTTCGGGGGGGGGGGGGGGTACAATTAATTTGTATCATCCATTAGAGTGATATAAACATGACGAGGTGCACTTGCGATTATACAGCGAGCAGTAACCTTCTTGTCCACCCTTTTATAATTTAATTACTCAAATATATATTTTACTTACCGGTTTTAAGAATGAATGAAGAATCACAATACTTAAAATAATGATTGCAAATATTACGACGTAAAATAAAAATTTCCATGAATTGTTGAAGCCCGCATCTTCATTACCTATATTAACAGTGAATTTAAGTATATAATAACACAATTTTAATGTTCCTTTTCCTTATACTTATGAAATATTATAATATATTATATAATGGAAAATTAATATTAGTTAACTGAAAACAACATTTTAGTATTTTTAAATAAATTATATTAGATAACACCAATAAATAATACGGATATATTTTAGTAACAACTAACTGGAAATTAAATGCAATATTATTGTGAGAGTGGTTATTATATAATATTATTACTGTCATTAATTTGGCAGAAATTCTAAGTAATAAAATATGACTATTATAACATATAAAGTTATAAAGTTATTTACATTGGACAAACATAATATAATGGATATCATGTATATTACACAGTGGCATAGCGAGAAACTTGGTTGCCCTATAATTGACATAAGAGACAGAAACCCTCCCAAAGCACCTGGTGCCAATGTAGTTTTGTCCACAAAGATACAATCTACAACCTAACCTATAGAATTTCGGAAACTTTGAAAAACCGACACGGGGAACCTTAACACAGAAATTAAATTATAGTAAAAATATTTATTATTTATTAGGTAGAGGTTCTAGGAACCAGTGCCGCTGAACCTTTTTTAAATCACTGAGGAAAACTTTTTTTGGGTACCAACCCACCCACCTTAGAAGATGAGGATTTTTTTTTAAATAGTAACAAATGAAATACAGGGGTGACAAGGGTTATTCTTGGAGGGGTTTGGAGTGAATTTTTCTGATTTCCAAGAACAAAATTAGGTGACTGTATACACCGAGTATTCACTAGCGACTGATGTATTTTATAGTGATCACTGCTTAATGTAATCACTTTAGTACCTAATGGAAAAAACGGATAACATAAACGATAAACTGACTGGTAAGTGATTCTAAGTGGAGAATGTAATGATTTTACAATGATGCGGTTTTTTTTTTATTTTTTGTGTATTGTGCACACGATAAATAGTCGAAATAATGCTTCGATTTTCAACTTCAGTATCTTTTCTGGTGGTCATTGAAGTTTTAGTTGGTGCATGCGGGAGGTTAAAATTTAATTCGCAGTAGTTTTGAAACTGGAGTTTTTAAGCAAAATCGGTTTTAGACTTAATCGATTTTGGTGTAACTTTAAAAAAAATTAACGTAGATGCATGACACTTTTACTGAATGTTTATATTAGCATTTTCTATACACCATAACATTTTGACTAGTAGTGGGCATATATGGATTTCGAAATTATTTGGATTTCATGGATTCAATATATTCTATAAATATCAATAAAATGTTATTTGTTGGGCCAAAAAGCGTCAAAATTTAGTGCAAGGTTCCTGATATATTGCTTAAACAATAAACAGCAGTTCAAAAATATTAAAAATACATAGGCACGATTTATTTTATAATCATTTAAAGTTCATTTTTGACAAAATTTATCAAATTTAAAATTTAAAAAGGTGGGTAAGTGGATGTCACTTTGCTGTGCAGTAGGTTACAAGTGAGTCACTGTAATGGATGGTGTTAAATTTGAATTCAATGATATAATATCATTGTAGGTATAAGAAAAACGATTCTGAGCGAAAACGGTCAGTCAGCCTATGATATTACCAAGTATATTTGGTGATATTAAATTGAATAAAGTAATTTATATGGAACAAAATGTAACTTGTAATACATTTTCAAATCTAAGATAATTGTGAAATCAAGGTAATTTTATAATATTAATTCAACTTACCGGCTACCGTATTTTAATAATAAATAATAACAATATAAAATATCCACACTGACAAACCGTCTCCACTCAAAATTCGTATATAATGGTATTATATCCTTGAATTCAAATTTAATACCATCCATTATACAGTGACACTGAGCCACTTGTAATAACCTACTGTACAGCAGAGCGACATTCACTTACCCATCTTTTTTTCTTTTACGTAAGTACCTATTATTTGTTTCTAATAGTTCGAAAATAGTTTTAAAATAGGTACATTTGGAAAACGACTCGTAACCGGTGTGTTATAACTATAATACTATTACTAGGCGATAATGGTTAGCTGGTGCTCGCCCGGCTCGGGGTTCGGTAATATGCATTATCGGCTGCAAACGAATTGCATGCCAAAAAAAAAAAATGTCCAAATTGCATGCCGTCTCTTGTAGGGGTTTGTCCGAATTGCGTGCCATCTCTTGGAGGGGTCTGTCCGAATTGCATGCCATCTCTTGGAGGGGTCTGTGGTCTGTCCGAATTGCATGCCATCTCTTGGAGGGGTCTGTCCGAATTGCATGCCATCTCTTAGAGGGCTTTGTCCGGATTCCATGCCGTACACCACACGTTTATTTACTATGCACTTAAACAACTTAAACTTTTTTTTGGACTTTCCTAATTTTTTAAAAAAAATGCATGTATAGAAACGCTCTTTTATGTATGGTTGTTACAACTGTTTAGTGATTAGTTTCTGGATTGAAATATTTTTATATCCGTGTAAATATTTTCCCAAACAGTATCTATATTGGAGTAATGTAGTGTATTGTGGTCTCGGTCTGTTTCACAACAGATTAATAATATTTTATTATTATGAATTATTATTATATATTATTTTGTTTATTTAAATTGTAATATTGTGTGCCCGAAATGTCAAAAAAACCACCAAATTTAAAAATAATATTATTTAAAATACACTCACTTGATTACCCTAAACTACAATAGTTTTATTTAACTAATGGCCTTTGTTGTCGATGAAAAAAAAATAGTTTTATATTTTTATGATTCTTATTCACAGTGTCACCTTCTACAATATTTATATGTTTTATTGTAATGTAACAAAATCCCGATCCTCCAGTTGAAAAGTAAGTTGTGTATTCGGATATACCCCTCTAAGAGATGGCATGCAATTCGGACAGACCCCTCCAAGAGACGGCATGCAATTCGGACAGACCCCTCCAAGAGACGGCATGCAATTCGGACGACCCGATTTATATTTATTTTTTTGGCATGCAATTCGGATGCACCGGCATTATCTTTCACCACTCGCCCAACTTCAGTGCATACTGACACTGCTTTCGGCCCTGCGATTATCCGACTGAATTTAGTTAATTAGTAAAGTAATTAAATAGCGAGTATACTGTGTGTCTGTTGACTGTAATTATGTATACCTACTATTTAGTATTAATTGCACTATAGTCTATTCTCTATATTATACAATAACTATAATATTTCAAGCATTCATCATTTTGGTTGACATCAACAGATGACCAACGATACTAGAAAAGATACTAACGCCCCAAGCGTGGTTAACATCAATCAACAACCCAATATTGTAGGTATATTATAATCACGGACTACTACAGTAGTAGGCCTCTTATTAGAGCCTTAACAGTATTAGTCCGTGATTAATGATTATAATATATTGTTATATTGATATATTTTGTAGTAGGTACCAAGAGAAATCACTATAGATAACGCAAAAGTTCTAACTGTAATAATTGCTATGACAAAATCATCAACATTTCGTTCATGCAACAAAAAAATAAGTTTCGTTGAGTAATCTGTATACATAGGCGTAATTAGACCTTGAAGTAAAGGGGGAGGGGGTTGTCTGATTCTATTTTTAACAACAAGCCCCTAATACGGCCGGCGGGGGCAGGCACGGCGATTTTCGAAAAGTCATCGCTACTCGTTAATATTAATCGTTATCAGATATCACCATTTATTAATAATCGTACGTCTTTTAAGACTATTTTTGTGTTTAGTTTATTGACAACGTCTAAGTAGTATTTATGTAGTGAAAACTACACGACATCATACGTCTTACACAGGGTATTTACATATACAATAATATAGTTTGATGACCAAAAAATAAATAAATATTTTTCCAAGATATAAATAAAAAAATAAATGATATTTTAAATTAAGGTTTAAAAATGTAGCTAGTATCTACCGTTAGCGGGATAAGGAATTATGACAGGGGAGGCTAAAATCAAAGTTGCGGGCTTAGCCCTCCAAGTCTCCTATGAATGTATATCATTAATCCTAGTGGCACGAAATATTTACTGCGGGTGATAATGATATCAGCTAGTTAATGGACGGGAAAAATGTTTACATATTATACGTTCTTAATTTAATATTTGAGCACATTGAACATAGATATACTGTTAATAATGAAATATTAAATGAGTTTCAAAAACTTTTATTATGTCTATGGAAGAGCATAAATATGGTCATTATACAAAATAAAACACTATTAAGAATCATATAGCTATAACTCTTCAGGGAGTTATTTCATATATAATATATGATGGTTGGAGTTAACAATAGACATATACACCTAATCGAAAATTGTAACTTTTCAAACAATTGAATTCCAGATGTTGTTGTGGCTGACAGAGAATTTATTATTAATGAAAGTGTAGATTTTCATTGTGCCTCATTAATACTCTAGCTTTTACGAATTGTTTATCACAGTTGTATCCATGCTCTATTGAAGAAACCAGAAAAATTGAGTTTGTAAGAATAAATTGAGCGAATTATCGGTCTTACTAGATCAACATTTTAAATGGTCCAGTACCAATACTAACTACTCTTAAATATTAAGATAATGCGGCATTTTTATTAGATGCTAATGATTATATTGTAACTGTGTGTTGTTGACTAATAAATACATGTAATTCAATAATAAAAAATTAATTTCTAAAATTAAATTAACACATAAAAACTAAATATTTTATTTTGAGGAAGCGAAAATTTACTCAAGCTTAAAATACTAATGTAACTGGTAATAATACAAGAACTTAAACATCTGGGGAAAAAAGCCCCTTACCAACAAACACTTAACATTCAATAACTATGCTTTAATTATTGATACTATTTTTTTCTAAATCTATTTCCTAATCTTATTTCCAATCTACTACTCCTCAGCCACCAAAAAAACAATCCAAAAATCCCAGGTGGCGGGCAAACTAACGACTATCATACCAGAAGACTCAATAGAAGCTAAAGCATTTGGTCCAGACTCCATAAAACTTCAATGCTTTGACATCAAACTATTTCGAATAATTCAAAAATTCTTGACAAACTCGAACACAGAATATCATACTCTCAGCCTTCCTGATGAAAGAATACTTAAAATTGTTATAAAAGGTCTCCTAAGGGAAATCACAGACACTGAAGTTTCGGAAGAACTGACCAATCTAGGTTACACGGTAACTAATGTAAGACAATTTGGCAAACAAGACGAAAAACTTCCCATTCACATAGTTGTTTTAAAAAACACTCCAGGGAACAAGGGGATCTTCAACTTGAGATTACTGTTTTACACGGCAATCGAAATTGAAAGATACGAGTCAAATACACCAGCACAATGCTACAACTGCCAATAATTCGGCCATTCCAGTTTATACTGTTGTGCTTCACCAAGATGCGTTAAATGCGCCGGAAACTACAAGGCTAAAGACTGTACAAAAACTCCTGAAGAAAAACCAAAATGTACGAATTGCGAAGCAGACCACATAGCAAACTACAAAAAATGTCCAGCCATCACTCAAGAAACCGAAAAGAGACATCCTCTCAAACCAAAGATCCAAGAAACGTCCTCGGAAGGGAAGCAGTAAACAAAAATTCAAACAAACCAGGTGAACTCAGCCACTCCTTCATTCACTCAACCAAAAATCAGCTACGCTGAAGGTTAGGTTAAAATAAAAAAAAAAAACACTAACGTCAAATCCACTTCCGAACAACTCCAAAATTTAATATCAAACATCTCCTCGGGCAACACTGATCTGAAAACAGTCATTTCCGTCATAGTGGCAATACTTCCACTATTACTGAATTTATAAAAACCAAATATGATTTACACCAGAACTAAGAATTATGTTTTGGAACTGTCAAGCCGTGAATCGGAAACGCCTTGAACTTCTAAATTTAGTTCAAGAAAAGAAAATTGATATAATCTTACTAAATGAAACTCACCTATCATCCAATAAACAATTCAAGTTACCAAACTTTATTACGTACACAAGATTGGCGAACGGTCATCCTCCAGCAGGCGGAACAGAATTAAAGATATTGAAAATCTTCTTGACTCACATCAAAATATGATAATAGCAGGTGACCTAAATGCAAAACATGGAGCATGGAACAGTCGAAAAAACGACCAGGTAGGTAAAACACTCAACGAATACCTCAGCTCTAGAATCGACACAACAGTAGCTGTCCCATCTACACCAACAAGATATCCCACTGACATCAATTATTCTCCTGATTTTCTATATATAGCTATTATGAAAACAGGAAATATAGGATATATTATCGAAAACCTCAATGATGAATTGTTTTCTGACCATACCCCAATACTGTTAGTCATATCTATAAGCTCAGCTCACACCTATCCACCCAAACCACAGTACATAACAAACTGGAAACTATTTGAAAAGGAAATGGAAAATTTATCATTTCCATTGCCAAAAATGTCTTCAAAAATTCAGATCAGTAACGTAATTAACCATCTATCATCACAGAGAAGCTGGAAAAAAGGTCATTCATCTCAAGATAGGAAAAATGATTTACCAAATTTCATTCAAAACCACATCAGGAAAAAAAGGAAACTGAGAGCTGCCTGGCAAAGGAACAGAGACCCAGATATAAAAAAATCCCTCAACAAACAAACATCACTAGTAAGAGAGTTACTTCACTTACACATGGATAATGAATGGACATGGTTAATGGACTCAATAGACAACAACGATGAAGGCTGATCGAAACTTCATAAACTAAATAAAAGACTTCTTTGAAATCCACCTCCAGCTGCAAGATCATGAAGGCAATCTCCAATTTGATTCGGAAACAAATGCCAACATATTTGCTCAATCAATGGAAGAACAATTCAAGACTCCAGATACCCATTGCTGGGTCGATGACGTAGTTCATGATTCTATAGAACAACATGATGAGGCAATATATAAAAAATCAATATTTTTCTCTCTTGGAAAAGTACACGAAGTAATCCGCAGACTTCCAAACAAAAGTTCCCCAGGACCGGACAAAATCTCGAACTGCACCCTACAACACGGTGGTAAGTAATTCAAATTTTATTTTTGCCAAATATACAATGCCTGCGCCAGACTAGAATATTTTCCGAACCCTTGGAAAAAAGCAACAATCGTAATGCTACCAAAACCGGGTAAAGACCCCAAACACCCAACTACTCATCTTCCGATTTCACTTCTCAATACGATGGGAAAGGTTCTGGAAAAACTACTTCTATTTAGATTAAAAATTTATATTATGCCAATAATCCGTCCTGAACAATACGGCTTCAGATCAGAACACAGTAAGACTATACAATTAATACATTTTATAGATCTAGTTACCAACGATTTAAATATTAGACGTAAAACAGCTGCAACATTCCTGGACATACAAAAAGCTTTTGACAAAGTATGGCACGAAGGCTTATTATTCAAGCTGTTAACAATGGACGTATCTCATCAACCTTCTTAGATCTTTCCTCCTGAACCGATCATTTCAAGTTAAAATCGGCAACTCATTATCAACCCCAAGAGCAATTAGTGCAGGCGTCTCTCAAGGGTTGTGCTTATCACCTCATCTATTCTCATTCTACTTTAACGACATGCCAAAATAGAAGGAAGCAAACATCGCTCTCTTCGCAGACGATATGGTTTTCTTCGCTTTTGGCACAACTAACAACGCAGCAATTTCAAGAGTCCAAAGACAAATAGACCTTGCAATACCCTGGTTCAAACAATGGAAGATATCATTGAGACATCATTAAAAACCCAAGCCATCATGTTCAGAAATCGATCAACACACCAATCCAACACCTTACATTTTGAAAATACATAGATCTTATGGTCCAATTCGGTGAAATATTTGGGAGTAACCATAGACAATAAATTTAATTTTGGCAAAACACTTAAAATCCTCTATTAAAAAAACAACTGGAGCCAAATCCTCGCTATTTCCTCTCATTAACAAACTCAGTACACTCCCTCTCAAAACAAAGGTCTACATATTTAAAACGTACATAAAATCAATAATGTTATATGCTTCTCCATCGTGGACAGCGAATATCTCAAAAGCCAGCTGGACAAAGTTAGAAGCATTCCAGTCAAAAACGATGAGAATGATTACAGGCAGTGACTGGTATGTCGTATGTTTCTAACCATACAATAAAATCGTCGTTAAATATATTATCTATAAAAGACTCCGTTAACTTAGAAACGAATAGAAAATTCTAAAAAATCAAAAACTCCAACTATGAATACATATCCAACATAGTAAATAGAAAACATCATAAAGAAATATTCAGAAAAAGACCCTTAAGCCTAGCATAAACATCTACAACTAACAGTAAACAATTACTTCACTAAACTTGAATCTCTCTGCAAGAAGCGGAAGCTTGATACAGAGTAAACCTAAACAAAGTAAAGATCGAAAAACCAAAAAGGCAGCTCGGTCCTTTCCAATGCCACAAATGTGTTGCGCGCCTCATTAAATATGTATAACATAGCGCACGTTCCTAATTGTATGGCCATATAATTAATAAGGTAATTAATATAAAATAGCATGCTGAGGTCATTGCAAAGAGAGGAGTGAACATAGTATTAAATAATTAAACTATAAGTGTTATAACACGTCTCTTCTTGGAAAAGTCTCAATATTTGTAAGGAATGATGCGAATCGTTCAGAACACGAGACCTGGCAACGTACATGATTTCAGCACCAGCATAATTCTCATTGGTTTCAAATCGACTTGTTTTCCCGAGCTAATAGTTTACTGTTATCACATAGTTATATATCTGTTATCAATAAAATATAACAATTTGCAAAAATAGTTTCTTTTTTGCTTTTTAAATTGTAATAGATATTAGTCATTAGATTTAGCATATTAATTAAAATTATAAATTATAAACATTTGCCTTCGTCATATTTTATTAATGAAATTGTAAGCTGCAAAAATGAGGCATATGAGATTCGATCTTATATAAAAGATTTTAATTCATGCCAAAAATGGGTAGACGAGTTTTCAGAAAAGTCAAAAACAAGTTGGAAGATTAGAAATATCAAAAGGGACAACGTGTTGTCTGCAAGTAAGTTAAATATGTTGGTAAAATATAACATGATGTAACGTTTTATGTCTGATTTGATTTTCTAATTACTACCTACACTCTGCTTGCCTAAAGAACATGCCGGTTGGCGGCAGCTATTGGTGGGTGTCGCGAGGGGATGCGCAGAACGCACCGATTTTCATCGGGCCGCGGCGTTTACTCTCGGCGAACAGAGTATAGTGGTTTGTGGTTAGTACCTATACTCCGGCCCACGAGTCTATAATATTATGTTCAAATGCGTCCGTTGCTGCACATCTGCATGTTGCCGAATAGTGGGAATGACATCATGGTGGGAGAAAACAGACGTCACGTATTACTATATATCGAGGCGCGGTTTACGTATGGACTCTCGTGGGCCGGAGTATACCTTCCTATTTATCCTTGAGTGTTGTTTTAATAAGTAATAATACAAATTTTTGTAATTGGCCCAGTTCTCCACACCAACCTTTGTGACAAGGACCCCCGGCACCTCGAAAATAATATGAAATAGAAATAAAAATATAGAATACCTACCAAAGTTAAAAATTGAGAAAAAAGAGAATAGAAATTGATGGAAAAACATGCTTGCATTACAGATCCACACAATTATTGTCATTACACATATAACAAATTATTGTTATTATTAATACAGTAGCCGGTGAAGTTGAATTATTATTATTTGTTTATTATCATATTTGTATATAATAATATAGGTACTTTCGAAGTTTCAAGTACTTCAGGTATCCACAAATAATATTTTTAAAATACAACAAAACTAAAATCGTTCTTCATCGTTTAAATATCTAATTTCGTACAAATTTAAACATAAAATAACTGTAAAAAAAAAAACAGTGTTTTTTACATATTTTTTAGACTTTTTGGTTACAGAATAACCTATACTTACCTACGTGGAACATTATTTTAGCTATAAAAGTTGAACATATTATACATTTTTAACTACAAAATCATTTTAGATTCTGAGCGGAGAGCTATGAATGTATTGATTTTACAATGATGTTTTTTTTCTGTGTACACGATAAGTAGTCGAAATAATGCTTCGATTTTCAACTTAGGTATCTTGTTCGACGGGAATGCGAACCTAGTTCGTATTTTGGATACTTAAAAATTCCCAATAGTTTTCAAAAGTGTGAAACTTTAGGTAATTCAAAGTAATATTGCTCGTTCCTTTAAAAATCTAGCAGCAATTCGAATAAAAACAATGTTAAATGCAGTACACTAGGTAATTCGTAATAACATTTTAGGGAAAACTAGCGGTGAACACACGGTAAATCGAAGTACAACGCTCAGCAATTCGAAATATATTCACTAAAATGTATTTCTTATAATTTTATTGTTACTTATTTACCTTACAATTGCGTATACATTTAGCTTTTTTCAGGGTAACTCTAGAATCAGTGGCGGCCGCAGGATTTTTCAATGGTGGGGCTTGAAAATTAGTTACAAATTTATTTTTATTTTGTCCAGTCTAATAATTTCAGACGTTTATTTGAGGTATTTTAAAATGTTAGTAACTTTTCAACTTTTCTAGTAGAAAATATACTCTTATCATAAGCTTCGATGGTACTTTTAGGAGGTCGAAATTGAATCTGCTCAGAGCTTTTAAAAGTACCTAATTGGAGAAAAAAAAATGAAAACTTATTTAAATTGTTTGGTAACAGTAGCTTGGTTTAACAGTGACGTATTTATGGGGTGGGATATGGGGGATAGATCCCCTCCCTTACCCATTTTTTTCCATGTATAAAGTACAAACTGCTGCAGTACTGTTATTATTTATAATTTTGTTATCCTGTGGGGCGTGGGCATGTGAGTGACATTACACAACATTTATTATTATTATATACCTTACATGGAGTAACTAACAAAAAGTTGCAACAGCACTAAACAAATTTTGATATCCCCCCCTCAAGAAAATCTTATATACGCCCCTGCTTGGTTATACCGTCCTCACTTGGATTGTATTTGATTAATTAAATTTTTTTTTTTTATAAATGTCAATAAAAAATTATTTATCCGGTCAAAAAGCTTAAAAATGTAATACGTAAGTTTTTTTATTATAGCTACATTGCTAAAATATTAACGATACATATGCATTTAAAGTTCAAAACAATTTAACCACAGTTAATTTGTACTTCAAAACTTATAAAATATAAAATATGTACAGCTAAGGCTAGACAATTTAATACAAGGTCTTTCGTACAAGTAGTTCATTGTTTTACCGAAAAATTACAGATAATTTATGAAAATTGGTATGCAAATACAATGTTTTTTCAAAAATGAATTCATTCTGGTAAGTCATATATGAAATTTACGTCTTGCTTACTATAGTTGACAGTTTAAACTTGATTAATATATATTTTTTAAAGTAATAATAATACGGGCAATGGGGGGGGGCTTCAGCCCGTTAGCCCCCCCCCTGCGGACGCCACTGCCTAGAATTATTATCCTACGTCAAAATTGTTTTTCATTACTCAGCAACTCAAACTCTCGGTAATTCAATAGTCAACTGTAGGTATATATAATTAACATTTTAATTTAATAAAGAAACGATAAAAATCATGTGTCTTCTTGTTTTAGAAATTATTATTATTATTATTTTTTTTTATTGATCATTAAGCCCGGCAACTATA